ACTGGAAAATTCTTCAAGAGATGGGAATACTAGACCACCTTACCTGACTCCTGAGAAATCTGTATGCACATCAAGAAGCAACAGTTAGAACTGGACATGGGACAATGGACTGGTTCCAAATTAGGAAAGGAATATGTCAAAGCTGTATATTGTCACCCTGCTTATTTAACTTATATGCAAAGTACATCATGTGAAATGCCAGGCTGGATGAAGCACAAGCTGGAATCAAGATTGCCAGGAGAAATATCAATAACCTCAGATAGGCAGATGACACCACCCTTATGGCAGAAAGTGAAGAAGAACTACAGAGCCTCTTGATGAAAGTAAAAGAGGAGAGTGAAAAAGCTGGCTTAAAACTCAACATACAAAAAACTAAGATCATGGCATCCGGTCCCATCACTTCATGGCAAATAGATGCGGAAACAATGGAAACAGTGAGAGACTTTATTTCCTTGGGCTCCAAAATCACTGCAGATGGTGACTACAGTCTTGAAATTAAAAGATGCTTGCTCCTTAGAAGAAAAGCTATGACCTAGACAGCATATTAAAAAAGAGATATTTGCCAACAAAGGTCTGTCTAGTCAAAGCTATGGCTTTTCCAGTAGTCGTGTATAGATGTGAGAGTTGGACCATAAAGAAAGCTGAGTGCTGAAGAGTTGATGTTTTTGAACTGTGGTGTTGGAGAAGACTCTTGAGAGTCCCTTGGACTGCAAGGAGACCCAACTAGTCAATCCTAAAGGAAATCAACCCTGAATGTTCACTGGAAGGACTGATTGAAGCTGAAGCGCCAATATTTTGACCAGCTGGTGTGAAGAACTGACTCACTAGAAAAGACCGTGATGCTGGGAAAGATTGAAGGCTGGAGGAGAAGGGGACAACAGAGGATGAGGTGGTTGGATGGCATCACTGACTCAACAGACATGAGTTTGAGTAAACTCCAGGAGTTGGCGATGGACAGGGAAGCCTTGTGTGCTGCAGTCCAAGGGGTTGAAAAGAGTCGGACATGAATAAGCAACTGAACTCAGCTGAAGACTAAATAAGTTAGTGTATGTAAAATGCTTAGACTCAAGCACTTAGTATATGATCAGTAAGTATCAGTATTATAAATGTCGAGGTATAGCAATTTCATTGGCATTCATTTGTAGCAATGTATTTGTTGTATTAAGTCTATTCTGCTTTTACAGCTTGAATTTTTTGTAGTATATTATTAGACTACGATTACTTTTCTTTCCCTTTAGAATGCAAGAAGATTTTAGCGTATGAATTAATTGTATTGCAAAGAAATATAAAACTTCCTTGAAATCAGATACTGAACCAGCATCTACACCAAAGATGTGCCCAACAGATCTTGTTAAAAGATAACTGTGTATAAACACATGAAAAGATGTCAGCTTCACTATTTTTTAAAATATTTATTTATTTATTTATTTTTGCCCGCACTGGGTCTCTTTGGCTGCACGCAGGCTTTCTCTAGTTCTAGCAAATGGCGACTACCCTTCGTTGCAGTGCATTGCGGTGGCTTCTCTTGTGGCACTCAGGCTCCAGGCATGCGGCTCAGTAGTTGTGGCACATGGGCCCAGCTGCTCCTCAGCATGAGGGATCCTCCAAGACCAGGGATCAAACCAGCGTCTGCTGCACTAGCAGGCAGACTTCCAACCACTGGACCACCAGGGAAGTTCCAGCTTCCCTATTAATCAAAGAAATACAAATTAAAAAGACCATAGCCACAATACCCAGTGTTGACTAAGGTGTGGGCGAAAAGGTTTTCTTTAACACTCTTGTCAAGTACAAATTATTATATCCTTTCCCCTAGGCAATTGGGCAAAAAGTATCAAAATGTTAAGTACAAACTATTTAATCAATTTCACCTCTAAGACTTTTCCTAAGGAAATAAACAAGTGTAAACAGTTGTGTTTGGAGGCTATTCCTTGCATCATTGTTTCCAGTAGCAAAGCATTAGAAACCTGTGTAACATCTAAGGGGAGTATTGGGCTCCACCCAGATCTCCGGTAGGCACCTAACCCTCAGCTTCCATGAAGGTTGGAGAATTACCCTGGCGGGAGTTAAGGGAGAAGTGAAAAGTGAAAGTGGAATGGTTATCCACTCAGCGTGGCACACTTTGTGACTCTGCGGCACACAAGGTGAGGGGTGGGAGGAGAGAATGACATAGCGAATGTCAGCAACTGCTGAATTTAGTGCGGGGTGTATGGAGTTTGTGCATTCGCCTCTCAGTTTCATAGCGGGTTTACATTTATTCAAAATAAAAGTTGAGGAAAATGTACTTTCTGAGCATGAGGACGGACTCTGGGGGGCTCCATACATTCTCTGGGTGCTGGCTTGTCCACCCAAGGGGCCACATGCAGACATTACTCCTGCCATGTACCTTTAACTTGCTTTCAGATCTGTCAGCTTTGGTAGACTTGGTTCAGTTGGACCTTGTGTCTGATAGTTTTACTAAGAAACTCTCAGTAAAAGCACATCCTTGATTCAGCTCTTCCACTTATGGGAACCTAGCCAAAGGACAGAGTCTATTAATACTTTCTGGCTTCTTTTGGCTATTAAGGTTCTGTGTGCTCATGCATGCCCAGTCACTTCTGACTCTTTGCAACCCCACAGACTGGAGCCCACCAAGCTCCTCTGTCCATAGAATTTTTCAGGCAAGGATACTGGAGTGGGTTGCCATTTCCTACTCCAGGGTATCTTTCTGACCCACGAACTGAACGTGTGTCTCCTGCCTTGGCAGGCAGATTCTTTACCACTGTGCCCCTGGGACGCCTCCCGAGCCAAAGAGAACAGCTACCAGCAAATAATTAAAGACGACCTCAGTGGCCAACAATGGAGGACTGATTTCACGGCAAGCAGTCACTGAAAACAGTTCAGAAACGTGCTGACATGGGAAGACAGTTATGACATATAGTGGAAAATATTAGAAAACTGTATGGTACAAACAAATTCTATTTAAAAGATCACAATTACATCTGCAGATTTGGAAGAATGCACACCAAATGCTTAACTTGGACCATCTCTGGGTATATGGAATTTATGGTGCTCTGGCTTTTTGGCTTATGCATAATTTCTGAATCTTTTATTAAAAATATCTATTGCTTAAGCATTTAAAAAAGAAATCTTATTAAAAGATAAAAGGGAGTTCCCCGGTGGCCTAGTGGTTTAATTCTGGGCTTTTGCTGCTATATGCAGTCAAAAACAAAAAAGATAAAGGAAGACTGTTGTTATTGTTCAGTCGCTAAATTGTGTCCAATTCTGAGTGAAGAGGAAAGAAGATAATGTGATGTTTTGTAAACAAATCCAACTCTGACACTTCTTTATAATAAATTATAAATTGGGCTTTTCAGAAGACCTAAATGTTTCAACTTTCTAATATATCTACTTCAAAGATGCAGCCTGCAGTGTGGTCACAACTTGAGGTTTTGCACACTTAGAATGGAAAAACAAGGTCCTGCTGTATAGTACAGGGAACTTTATCCAATCTCCTGGGATAAACCATCATGGAATGTGTATGTGAGTAAATCTGAAGCACTTTGCTCTATAGCAGAGATTGGCACAACATCATGAATTAACTCTACACTAAAAAATGGGGGAAAAAGACTTCAAGTTTCTGTCTCGGGATGGTTGTGTTACACTGTGGCTCTGTCACTTCAGGCTGTCTAATCTCTGTCTCTGTAACAGGGGTGGTAGTAATACTACCAACCTCACAGCTTTGCTGAGGATTAAATACTACACAGAAAACTCTTGGTACAGTGCCTAGTAGTACTAAGTGCTCAATAAGCGTTAGGAGCCAGCAGGTGCCTTCTGTTCAGGCTAACAGCAGGAGCCCCTGCCTAAGCCTAAAGGATTCCACCAGGCACTCTGACAGTGGTGCACCTCACCTAGTATTTTGTAGAGAAGTGTGTGTGAGTGCTCAGTCATGCCTGACTCTTTGCAACCCCATGGACTGTAGCCTGCCAGGCTCCTTTGTCCATGGGATTCTCCAGGCAAGAATACTGGAGTGGGTTGCCATACCCTCCTCCAGCAGATCTTTCCCAGCTAGGGATCCAACCCGTCTCCTGCATTAGCAGGCAGATTCTTTACCACTGAGCTACCTGGAAAATCCAGAGAGGGGGGCAGGGGAATGTAAAAGCAGAACTTCCAGGTCATTTTATTTCCCTGAAGCTTCCTTATCACTGGGTGTGAAGTACAGGTGCTGATCAACTCTGTTAATAAAGCACAGTGCTCAGGAAACCAAAGGCCAAAGACCAAGGTCTGAAGCCCCTTAGTGAGGATGTGTCCCTCATAACCACTACTGGCGGGGGAAGTACACTTTTAGACCTCACAAAAGATAGCATATTTATTTAGGAAACAACAGTTTCAAAATTATTCCCCAAACTCAGAATCTATGGGCCAGAATACACACCCTAACTAAATGAGTGAGGTCTTCATTAACTGCTCACTTATTAAATAAAACTTTAACTGACTATGTGGAGTAGTGTTTCTCCATAAATCACTTGGAGTGCCAGAGATTGAGTCCATTAAATAACACATTGCACCTGGGATGGTCCAGTAATTGGAAATTTTTATTTTTATAAATACCTCCAGATGGTTTTCATGATCATAAAGAAACTTTGGGAAACACTGATGAAACATGCATTTCATCCTTTGCAGATTTTAAGTCTTGAACACGTGGTCCTTGAATGACCCACTGAAAAGTCTAATCCAGTCCAGTTTTAGAAAAAGGAAGTAAGTCTTTTGAATATCTGACTTCTTGTTTCCTAGGAGACACTGTTTTTCATTTCCATTTCTGGCCCAGCTCTTCTAGGTCAGGTTTTTCTCCAAGGGTCCATCTTCCTTGAGTTGAGGCATAGCAATCCAATCATTTTTAAATATTGGTTTATTATTAAAGGATTGTCACGTTTAATTAAATAACATTTGCTCGCTTTTGTCTCTCCTTTCCTTTCCCCCTGAAACGTATGTTAACAGGTTAGGGTGCTTTGTATAATATACATTCAATATTCTGGTTTCTCCACCTTAAACTTCATACTGAGGACGCCGTGTATGCCAGCCTGAATCTCATCATTTTCTTTAACGGGTCCCACTCCTTTTGGCGTCCCGGTCAAGATAATATCTCCTTCTTCCAAGGTCATGATCTTAGAAACGTAGCTGATGATGTAGGGGATGGAAAAAATCATGGAGGATGTCTCACCCTCCTGTCTGAGTTCACCGTTGACCTTGAGCCAGAGCTTCAGGTTGTGAGGGTCAGGGATCTTCTCTTTGGGCACGAAGGCACTGACCGGGCAAGAGGCCGTGAAACTCTTGGCCAGAGTCCAGGGCAGCCCCTTCTTTTTGCACTCGTCCTGCACGTCCCTGGCGGTCATGTCCAGGCACAGGGCATAGCCGGCCACGTAGTCCATGGCCACGGCCTCTGGGACTGCGCGGCAGCGCTTGCCCATCACCACGGCGAGCTCGAGCTCGTGGTGCAGGTTGCGGGAGTAGGCGGGCACGAGCACCGGCGAGCCTTCGGGGGCGTAGGCGGTGGACGGTTTCAGGAAGAGCACCGGCTCGCTGGGCGCGGCGCTCTGCATCTCCCGGACGTGGTCCGCGTAGTTCCGGCCCACGCACACGATGTTCTTCCCCCACTCCCAGAAGCGGGACATCGGCCTGCCGGCGGCCATGCTCCTACCCGCTGCCCGGAGTCACGTGGACCCTGCCCGGCCGGTCACGGACGCCGACGGCTAGCCGGAGAGGACCAACTACCTCGAGGAGCCGGACCGCGGACTCCGCCGGGTGCCCGGAAGTCGCGGCGCTCGTCCTGTCGGCAGCAGCTGTCCAGTGGCTGCCCGGGGGCTGCCGGGCCTGGTCCCCGCAGAGAGGCGGTGGCTGGAGCAGGTGCCTTCCGGATCACCCTCAGGTCCTCAGCGGGGCAGGGTCAGGTGTGGACGCTGGCGCTGATTGGCCGGGGGGCGGGGCGGGCGGGGGTGGGGGCAGGGGCTGGGACGCGGGCGCTGATTGGCCGCGGTGTGTGGACGCCGGCGGGTACAGCCCGCCCCTCGTGCCGCCGCTGCCGCCGCAGCCTGCCAGCCGCTCCGGTCATGGTGCTGGGCCGCGGGCTGCTCGGCTGCTGGAGCGTCGCTGAGCTGGGAGCCGCCTGCGCCCGTCTCGGCCTGGGTAGGTGGGCCGGGGCGGGGCCGGCGCGGGGCCGGGAAGGCCGGGGCGCCCAGGGGCTGGCCTGTCAGGGCCCCGGTGCAGGGCCTGCGGAGGCGAGGCGAGCTGCCCGGCCGGCGTCGTAGCCGGGCTAACGGCGGTTGGGCCGGCCGCGCTCCCCGAGGCGGTGCAGCGCGGGGGCCGCCGAGGCTGACGCTGTTTTTTATTGATACAGGATTGTAAGCCCTCGCTGACGCCGGCGGGCAGGCCGATTGGGGTCGAGCAAAGGCTACCCAGCAGTTGAGTCAGCCTTTGAGAGGGCTGAAGACAGAGTGGGGTAACTTGTCAGCTGGGGGGTGCTTACGGATTTGTGCTAGGTAAGGAAATGTGTGTTGCGGGGGCGCTCGGGGGGCCCGTCTTGGGACGCCTGCCTCCCCGGGGTCTGCCTGGCAGCCAGCTAGCGACCCCCTCCTCCCGGACTGCGGGGGTCGAGGGCTCCCCCTCACGCATCCGCCCTCCCCCCCGCCCCGCCCCTTGCAGCCGCGCACTTCTGAAGCCCTGGGGCGATGCACTCGTGCCTGAATCCGCACGGCCTGAGTGCTGTGTGTGCTCCACGAAGTGGATCCTGGCTTTTCACGTGAACTGTGGCCGGCGAGCTGTTGGACCCTTGCCCTTCCTAGTTCTCCTATCCTAGCGTCTAAAACGGGAGGCGTTGGACGGCCTGACCTCCAGGGCCCTGCTCGGACAGCTGTCAGATTCGATTTTCACCCTATTACCTCTTGCTTGCTTGAAATATTTTGACCTTGATTTTGAAATCGCCTTTTATTTCCTGATACCTTATCGGGCTGATGTAGCAACAGGGGTAGTAGGTTAAGCTGAGATTTTGGAGCAGTGAGCTGAGTGACCACAGCCCTGGGTGGGGAGAAGGAGCAGGTGGAAGCCCTCCTTGGCCATGTCCAGACCTCACCCAGAGCAGAAGGCATCTGGAGTGCATGGTGTGTCACCATATCTAAGGAAAGAGCTGGGTTTTTCCATGTAGGGACCCGTTAAAGGGTCAGCTGAGTTTCTGTGTTGGAGGCAGGCAGGTGGTGCAAATGGGACTGGAGGGGATCAGCAGGAGCGTGGCTGCCTCGTTAAGAGGGGGCCCATCACTCTGCTGTGGTGAGGAAGGAGCTTCCCAGGTCCAGAGAAGCCGGATGCCGTGTATCTCAACACTCAGCCCTGACTCTGCTCTGTAGTCCTCCTGGGGCTCAGATGCTGAATGCTGGGGCTGAGAGCAGGTGGCATATCCCAGAAACCCAATTGTAGAAAAATAGGTTTTCTTGCCGAGCCTGAGGAGAAGGGCCTGGATAAAGCCCAACTGGTTGTCACACCTCTGTGTCCCTTAACGCTGCAGTTCAGGCAGTTCCCTGGGCATGGTAGATGGCTGTGAACTCTGCATTAGAGGTGTCCTGTCAGTCAGCCAGTCAGTCTGTCAAGCAATCAGTCTGTCAGCCAGCCAGTCTATCTGTTAGTCAGTCTGTCAGCCAGCCACACTGTCAGCCAGCCAGTCAGTCACTCACTCTGTCAGTCAGTCAGTCAGTGTGTGTATGCCGCCCACTTTCTGGATCCCTTTCTTGGAGAGGCCCCATCCCAGCGCTGACCTACTCCAGAATCTCACTGCTGTCTTGTGTCACCCTTTGCAATTTTAATCCCTGTCATGCTAAGATTTAAGGTATTATTGGGGCCTTCATGAATTTATAGACTAAATAGGGGCGTCCTTGTGGAAAGTATTTTGGCCCCTGTCTCTGGGGAGAAGGATGCTTTTGCCCTGTGGTCACTCCCAGCCCACCCTGGCTGCCTCTTTTGCCTCAGTTGGACAGTGGTTCTGTGTCCTGCACACTGGAGTCTCAAACAGATGTGGCCAGCTCTCCCATATCTCAGGCTGTGGGAGAGGGGGTTTATGCATCATCCAGATTTCAAGTCCCTGCCATTTGGGAGTGAGTCTTCTTTTCTTCTCTGGCGTGTGGCCTGAGAAGGGCTGTGAGTCGCTGCAGGGGCCTCGGGCTCCCTGAGCTCGCAGAGAGGGAGAAGAGCCTGCCTGGCGCTTCCACTCTGGGTTTCCCTCTTTGTGGTCTTTCTGAATCAGGTGTGAACAACCCCAGAGCTGACTGTAGGCACCTCTCACAGAGGTTTGAATTGCAGTCAGGCTGGCTCTTGTGTCCTTTTAGAGCTCTCTAGAAAGAAAAGAGGGACTCTAAGTGTGAAAGAGCCAATTTCCACGAATATGAACATGAGCCGTGTTCTGTATTCTCCTCATGGATGTGGTTAATGAGGGTATCCTCCTCTTTTCTAAGAAAACTTAGAAAACCCCTCACGTTGAGGCTCCGCACATAGCGTCCCTGGGACATTGCTTCCTCAGATGCCTGTCCTGCGGGGCTGAGCGCTGGCTTTGAAGTCTTGGCCCAGCGTGGCCTCGTGTGGACGCTGACTGGAACTGCACTTTGTCTTCAGGTCCAGCCCTGCTGGGAAGCCTCTACCACTTGGGTTTAAGGAAGAGCTTGACCGTGGATCAGGGCGCCATGAAGGTGGAGTTACTGCCCGCTCTGACCGACAATTACATGTACCTGCTCATTGATGAGGACACCAAGGAGGCGGCCATTGTGGATCCAGTGCAGCCCCAGAAGGTGGGAGGCCAGGCCCAGCACCCCTTTTCTGTCTCCTGATGAGTTTGTTAAGCCAGGGCCCTTGCAACCCAGCCAAAGCTAAACAGAATTTAACCCATTTGGTTTTTGAAAAAGGAACTAGTGTCCCGCCACTCAGTTATCAGGGCAAAGGAGCAGTGAGGGGCTGGAGGCCACCAAAGGCTTTGGTGTGTTGAGGAAAGGGCTCCTGCGTGCAGAGAACCTGGGCAGGAGAGGCAGGGGCCCTTCCAGCACTGCCGCCTCCTCCAGGCTTTGTGCCCCTTGGCACACTACCTTTAGGGGGTGGTCTTGGTTGGAGGGGCTTGGAGAGGTCGTGTGGAGCCTGAACTGCCCCGCGGATCACGAGAGAAAAGGCCTCCTCGTCGCCCTGCCCTCCTGGAGGCGGGGCAGGCAGGCCAGCTCGCCGGGTGTCCCCACCTGCAGGCCGATGGATGGGCCGGGGCCGCGGCGTGACCGGCCTGTGCGCTGCCGCCTGTTTGGTTGCAGGTGGTGGAAACGGTGAGGAAGCACGGCGTGAAGCTGACCACAGTGCTCACCACCCACCACCACTGGTGAGTGCTCCGGGGCCCAACCTCCCCTGTGCCAGCAGGGCCCCTGGGCCTCACAGCTGTGCTGCCCATGCCCCGAGGAGGAGCGGCCACCGGGCGGGTGGGCCAGGGCATGCAGGTTCCTGGGGGACCTCCACAGGGGGCCTGGCAGCCCTTCTCCCCTCCGTGGTTGTGAGCTGAGGGTCAGCCCCAGCGGTGCTCTGACAGGGCTTCCGGGCACCCACCTCTGTACTGCTGCCCCGCATCCCTCAGGCCTGGCGACTCGGGGCCCTGAGGGCAGAGGCTCAATCATGCTGGGTCCTGGGGCTATGGGTGGGCCTCTAGCAACATCTTTGCAAGCTCTTGAACTTGCATGGTGGGAAGCTGGCCTCAATGTTGGAAAATAAACTGGTCTAGACGTTAGTGTTTTTGAAAATCAAGCTGTCATTTTTGAAGAATTTGTGATTTTTTAGATACTTGAAAGCTAAAGGATGGAAAAAGCTCTGATGTTTGGATCTTAGGTCTAGAGTTGCCTGCCCAGGGCCCTATTGGAACTTTTGAGGCTTTTCAAAGCTAGGAAAAAAATCTTTACTTGGCTCTGAATATTCTTTTCCAAATAACTGCCCAAGGGCAGCGAGCATCTTTGAACCTGCTCCTGTGGCACTTGGCCGAGCTCGGGGTGTGACCTGGGATAAAGGGAGGCCTTCCAACATCTGTGGGAGTGTCGTGTGGATGCGGTTAGCCAGTCTGTTAAGTGTTGGAAACTTGCTGGTTGATGTCACTGCGGCCCTTCGCGATGGCTCAGCCTCCGGGGCCTCAGGCGTTACTTCCTGATTTAGGGGCTCAGGCCTGCGGCGGCTCCTGGCTGCCCTGTGGCTACTCTCACGAGCTCTGCCCAGTGTGGCCTCCGTGGGCTGCGGGGCCCCTGCCTCCCAACTTCCCCCAGTGCGACTCTCTTGCACTGAGCACCCCCTGCGTCACACGTGGCTTTTCCCACATTGGGGTGCCTTACAAACTAAACCAGGCCCCAAAGTGAGCTGCAGGGTGTGGCACACGCCAACCTGCCACTTCCAGGTGGCGTTTCCCAGGTCAGCGCTGAGTGTGCTTTGCGTCTGGCCCGGCCTGCGTGTATCAGCCCGGCAAGGAGGGGCCGAGGGCGGCCTGCTCTTATCTCGGAGCCCTGCTGTGGCGGGGCCTGTGGGTCAGTGTGTAGTGAGGAGCAGGTGTGCCCTGGCGATTGGAAAGCCCCCGCCTTGGCCTGGAAAGGCTAATCTTCAGGCGCAGGACACCCCCGCCCTGCCCCGCGTTCAGGGTCCCACAGGGCTTTCCCTGGTGAATTTCTCCCCCAGCAAGGCTGTGGCCCGGAACCCTTCTCTTGAACTGGGCAGCGTGGGGAGCTCCTGTGCGTGTGTCCAGGGGGCACCTCGCCACTGGCTGCACCATCGAGGCTCCTGGGGAGGTCATTCTGTGCTGTCCTGTCCCTTCGTGACACTACCCACTGGCAGCTGGGTGGTGGTGGTTTAGATCTGCTCGGAGTGGGCCCATCTGGGCTGTGACTCCGAGTTACCTGACGGCTTTTAAAACTCAGCCTGCAGGGCGCCCAGGGCATCAGGGTGCCCAGGGCATCAGTGCGTGTGGCTGGGAGTCAGGCCTCCGTGTTCCCAGACCCCAGGTGACTCTGGTGCGCCTGGAGTCTGGGAGCTGGGGGCACAGGGATTATTCAGGGGTGTGCAGTTTGCTCCATCAGCACGGCGGTGGCGTGGCAGGGGCCTCTGGTGGGGACGGGCTGTCTGAGAACATTCACTCAGCAGAGCCACATGGTGGACAAGAACAGGAAGAAACATTTCTATTTCAGAGAAACATAGCTGGGCGAAATAAAAACTCCGTTTGGTCGGGGTGTGGAAGTGGGTACACCCCCACTGTATCAGCAGCAGCCCCAGCTGCCCCTTTCTGACCTCCAGGGACCACGCTGGCGGGAACGAGAAGCTGGTCAAGCTGGAGCCTGGGTTGAAGGTGTACGGGGGTGATGACCGGATTGGGGCCCTGACTCACAAGGTCACACACCTGTCCACACTGCAGGTGAGGAGTGATTGACAGCAGGGCTCAGGTGGGCTGTGCCCGCCTCCTGGTGGTCCCCTGGCTCGCCCCACTGAGGGCTCAGCTGTGGAGACAGGCCGGCCTGCACGCAGGCGGACGCGCTCTGGGGCCTGCCTGGCCTGGACAGTGCCTCTGCCGAGAGTCTGGCGAGCAGGTCAGTGTGCAGATGGTGACTGGCTGAGGGAGAAGCCAGACGCATGGCTTTGGGACACCTGGTGGTTTAGTCACCAAGTCGTGTCCGACTCTTTGTGACCCCATGGACCGTAGCCCGCCAGGCTCCTCTGTCCATGGGCTTCTCCAGGTAAGAATACTGGAGTGGGTCGCCATTTCCTCTTCTAGGGGATCTTCCTCACCCAGGGATCGAACCCGGGTCTCCTGCCTTGCAGGCAGATTCCTTACTGACTGAGCCACTGGGGAAGCCCTTGAGATGCCTGGGGACACTGAAATACAGACTCTGGGATTTTCTTTCACATCAGTGGTGGATTTCTTGGGAGGGGACGACAGTGAGGTTATATGGCAGGGCGGCCTTTTCTCAGGAGAGGCAGCTGGGCATCTGGGGCAGCGTGTCAGGACGTGTGTGGACAGCAGCTGCCACACAGGTGGGCCTGTTAGCATTTGGTGACCCAGGCAGAGCGCACACAGAAACATCATTTCAGATTTGGGGGGGTTAGAACGTTTCTGAAGCAAAGGCTGGGGCTGGGGTGGAGTTGGAGAAGGGAACAATAGGCCAGGCAACTACGAGAAAACCGTCTTCCCAGCAAGACGCCTAGCTCAGACTTGGCCTGGCTCTGAGGAGGCGACAGGACCAGCCCCCTGGTTGGGCACGCCAGCAAACACTGGCTCATGGGGGTCCCTGCACCTCTGGGCCTGGGTCCCGTGGTCACCGCAAGGCCTACCCTGCAGGGCGGAGCGGCGGCCGCGGAAGCCCGATCACCCTGGATGGCAGCTCACGCTGGGGGGCTGGCGGGGTCTGGGAGAGCCCATGAGCCTGCAGACAGGCCCCCGCATGCAGGGACACAGGCCCATGTGCTGTTTCAGGTGGGGTCTCTCAGCGTCAAGTGTCTGTCGACTCCGTGCCACACGTCCGGACACATCTGTTACTTTGTGACCAAGCCCAACAGTCCCGAGCCGCCTGCTGTGTTCACAGGTGAGTGTAGCGTTCCCAGGTATGAGCTGCGGGGCCGGGCAGAGCAGAGAGCATGTCCTGCCAGGCAGACTTCTGGGCTGGTCTCTGCATGGACACCAGCGCTCGGGGTGGAGCCTGGGCCTCGGTGCAAACACACCCAGGGGCCAGGCAGCCCTGGTGGGTCCTGGGTGGAGTGTTCCCTCCTGGCTGGGCTTCCATCCCATCTCCAGGGCCCTGAGAGCTGTGACCCTGTGTGAGGGGTCCCTGGAGGGTCCAGGTGGGGCCGGTGAGGTTGTGGGCATTTGGCAGGACGGTGCTGGCTGTCAGAATTAAGGGGTCACAGGATGGCCTGGCCTGGGAGGGGCTTCAGGACAGGTGGGGAAAGGCTTGGGTTTTGCGGGTGGTCTCAGAGCCAGCACTGATAGGAATGGGCAGTGAGGGGGGCAGCCGGGCTTGCGTCTGAGCAGCTGTTCGGGGCCTGGTGGGGCCAGTCAGTGCAGCGGGAGGCTAAAGGTGTGAGAGGGTGGCACCCAGACTCGGGGGGCCCTGGGCCCTGCCGGGTGGGGGGCAGGTCCGGGGCTGTGGCCGGGTCAGCACAGGGGGGAGAGAGGAGCCCGGCCATGGAGCTGAGCAGCGGCCCTGATGGGGGCGTGCGTGGCCCACAGACCCCCAGCTCCACGCTGTCCTGCCTCACAGGTGACACCTTGTTTGTGGCTGGCTGCGGGAAGTTCTATGAAGGGACAGCAGATGAGATGTACAAAGCCCTGCTCGAGGTCCTGGGCCGGCTCCCTCCAGACACGGTAGGCAGTGTCCTGTCTGCTCGCCGGTGGCAGCAAGACCCTGTCCCCTCACCTCCTGCAGAGCCCACGGGCCAGCTCCCTACCCCTGGGGTCTCACAAGCCTTCCTGCATTGGGAGGAGCAGCACAGCAGAAGCATTGCTTCTGGAAGCGTGTGTTTTTCCTTAAATGTACTTTTTATTGTCATTTAACATACACGCCTGCAATGCAGGAGATGTGGGTTCAATCCTTGGGTTGGGAAAATCCCATGGAGATGGAATGGCTTACCCACTCCAGAATTGTTGCCTGGAGAATCCCATGGACCGAGGAGCCTGGCAGGCTGCAGTCCATGGGGTCACAAAGGGTCAGACACGACTGAGTGACTGACACAGATGCGACACGCACTCAGGACGTGTGCTTATCTTGAGGGACATCTCGTGGGTGCCACCCCCGGACGGGCCCAGGCCCCTCACGCCGTCTCTGAGGGGCTGGAGGGCAGGTTCACAAGCCTCCGCAGAGCTGGCGTGTTTGGCTCTGTCCTCAGAGAGTGTACTGTGGCCACGAATACACCATCAACAATCTCAAGTTTGCTCGCCACGTGGAGCCCAACAACACCTCCATCCAGGAGAAACTGGCCTGGGCCAAGGTGAGCGGGCTGCAGGCGGGGGGTCCTGTGGGCTGGGTGCCCTGAAGCCGCTTCCTGGGAGCACAGTGCTCACAGCGTTGGCTCCAGAGCGGGCGGAAAGGGCCCCTCGGGACAGCGGGTGGCAGCAGGCCAGGTGGGTTCCAGCCCAACGCAGAGCCAGAGCCTTGGCTGTCTCCTTGAGATCCTTTCTGACTCGAGGGTCTGGGCTGGGCCTGGGATCCTTTTCAGCCAGCAGCCAGGGGAGGCTGAAGCAGCAGGTGCCGGCCCCTGTCCGCCTGGGGAGACCACCTTGGAGGCTGCTTGTCTGAAAGGCATTATTTCCGCCTTGGCCCCCAGCGTGCCCTGTGGCTCGTCCCAGGGTCGCATGTGTCCTGCAGGTGTCCTCTGTGATTCTCAGACTAAAGATCTTGTACACATTGTCAAAGGTGTTCCTAAATAGTTCACGTATATGGGTTTTATTGGAAATGATTATCGAGTCTTTAGAAATATTGATTTTTGTATTTTGACATTGCGTCCTTGTGACTTTGCTTGACTTAGTCTAGCATCTTTTTCATAGATTTCTTAGCACACAATCATGCCATCAACATTAAGATAGTTTTGTTTTTTCCTTTCCAATATGTTTCCAATATACATTTAGTTATTATTTTGCCTTATTGCACTGGCTTAGGTCTTCAGGACAGTGTTAAGTAGACATGGTGAGAGTGGACACCTTTGGCTTGTTCCCAGTCTTAGGGGGAAAGCATTCAGTTTTTCACCATGAAGCTAATTATTTTAGTTGTGAGTTTTTTTAAAGTTCTCTTTATCAAGTTGATGAAGTTCACATATATTCCTGGTTTTCTGAGAGTTTAGTCATGAGTAGATGTTAAATTTTGTCAAATGATTTTTCTTCCTCTATTATGTAATCATGTATTCTCCCTTACTCTTGTTAATGTGGAGAAGTATATCAGTTGGCTTCAAATGTTACACCAACCTTGCTTTCTGGACAAACCTTAGTCATGGTGGTGTCTATTTTTGTGTTTGTGTTCTTAAGAGATATTGGTCTGTAGTTTTATTTTTTTGTCATGTCTTTGGTCTTAATATGAAGGTAACGCTGGCCACAAAAATAAGAGTTGGAAGTGCCTCCTCTTGTTTACTGAACTTTTCTGTGGTTGTTATTATTTCTTCCTTTAGGTTTGTTAGAAATCACTAATGAAGCCTTCTGGACACAGAATTCTTTTTTGTGGAAAGATTTTTTTTTGTTATGAATTGATGTTTTTCATTTGTGTAGGGCTGTCAGATTTTCTTCTGGGCTACCTTTTCTTGATTTAGTTTTGTTAGCAGCTAGTGTCTTTCAAGGAATTTCAGCAAGGTATTCAAACTTATTGACAGTTTTCATAGTTTCCCTTTTTATTTTCAAGCTTGTTGGAAGTTTAGTTCACATGTAAGAAATTGCACCCATTTAAAATGAAGAACTGAGTGAATTTTGACAGATTAAATGACTCCCACTATTTAAGATTTAGAACATCTCCACCCCCAAAAGCTTCCTCATGTCTCGTTTTCTCTGCCTTGCTCTAGGATGCCACTAGAACTTAGTTCACGTTTTCTAGAATTTCATATAAATGAAACTATACAGTGTACTCATGTCTTTTTTTTTTTTTATGAAGCAGAATAATTTTGAGATTCACTCATGTGAACGAACTGCAGGTATCAGTTCATTTCTCTTCATTGCTGAGTGGTATTCCTTTGTTTGACCATACCACATTTTGCTCATCCATTCACCTGCCAACAGACATTTTCTGGTTACTGGCCATTGTGAATAAAGCCGCTGTGAACATCTCTGTGCAGGGCTTTGTGTGATATGTGGTTGTGTTGTTTTATTTCCCCACCAGTGAAACAGGAGAGCTCCGGGTGTTCCACGCCCTCACCAACCCTTGGTACTGCCGATCTTTTCATTTTAGCCATCTTCCTGCGTAGGCAGTAGTGCTTCACTGTGGCTTTAATTTGTGTTGTCCTTAGCGCATAATAACTTTGACCATCTTTCCATATGCTTATTGGTCATTTTGTTTAGTGCTTGTTCAGATTTTCTCCCCATTTAAAAAACTGGATTGTCTTCTTGTTGAATAATTTTTTTTTAAGTTTTTTTTTTAAGTTTATGCTATATACAAGTTCTTTTCAGATTATGTGTATTGTGAAGTTTCTCGTTCTGTGACTTGCCTTTAACTTTATCAACAGTGTCTTTTCCAGAGCAAGCAAAATTTTTTTACATTAAATTTTGATGATGTACAGCATGTTTTCTTTTGTAGTTCATACTTTTTATCTCCCATTTAAGAAAGCTTTGCTTTGCCAAAGTTAAAAAAAAAAACCTCCTTTTTTTGGGGAAGCTTTATAGTTTTAACTTTTAGGTCAGTATGATCTAATCCACCCCCTCCAATATCTGCTAGATCTGTAGTGATCTCCCCTCTTTTATTTGGCTGTACTGAGTCTTAGTTGCTGTTGGCGGGATCTTTAGTTGCAGCATGTGGGATCTAGTTCCCTGACCAAGGATCAAACCTGGGCCCCCTGCACTGGGACTATGGACTCAGCCCCTGGACCACCAGGGAAGCCCCTGAAGGCGTCTTGATGCCACTGCTCACAGTGTGGGTGGGAGTGGGAGGAATGAGGGCCCCTAATGGTCAGGAAGCCTGCGTGTGGCTTTTGACAGCGGCTGTCCACTCCTGGGCCCCGTGGCCCTCAGGGCGAGCCCAGCAGTAGAAGGGCAGGGGCTGCGGGGAGGGTGGAGACCCTCAGCTATTAACTCTGACCTGTTTCCTGTAGGCGTTTCTATAGCAGTAAACAGTTGGCCAGACATCCCCGTTTGCATCTTCTCTTCATCTGCCCTGGTCAGTGTTGATCAGGAGCGAGGGCGTCCCGAGTGGAGGTGACGAGCTGTCTGAGCACCCCGTGATGACAGCCGCCCTCTGGGGGGATGTCACCCCAGGGAGGGATCCCAGGAACTGGTTGCTGCACCGCTCTTGGCAGTGAGACGCTCACGAACCACGTGCTGTCCTGGGGGTGGGGCTGTAGTTTCTGTTTCCTGCCTTTTTGCTGGTTATGACTTCTTTAATACAAAACATAAGCTTTGTATTAATGACAAGAAAGCGCCCGTCCCCCTGCACCTCTGGGTCGTGGTGGCGGTTGGAGCACTCGTGCCCCTCTCCATCGGCAGGGAAGGGCCTGCGTTCATGCTGACCGTGTGCTCACTGGATCTTCTCAGGCAGATGACGTGGGAAGGCTTGCTCAGTCATCCCCTTAGAAGCTTCCGCACTAAAGCGACCCACTTGTCTTGCAGGAGAAGTACAGCGTTGGGGAGCCTACGGTGCCGTCCACCATTGCCGAGGAGTTCACCTACAACCCGTTCATGCGCGTGAGGTGAGGGCGTGGGGCCCCTGCTTCGTGCAGGCACCCGGGAAGGGTCCACGCCCTTGAGTCTCCTTAAAGCACGGCCAACGAAGCAGATGCTGTTTCTTAAAGCGGGCACTGTTCTTGGTGCCCCGGAGAGGGTGTGGGTCCTTTCTGACCCTGGGTCCCCATCAGGAGGTGATGAGGCTTGTGCTCGGGGCACATCCACATGCTGGGTGATGCCGGACGCGTGTGGAGCGGGCGTCGCTGGGTCACAGCAGGACTGGCTCTGCCAGCACGTCTCCCACAGTGACGAACGCCTGGGCTGTCCACTGGCTGCCGCCGCCTCCAGGCTCTTTTCTTCCTGGCGCCCTGGGAGGGGCAGTGGGGCCGTGGTCTGGGGTGCAGCCTGGCGCTTGGCTTCACAGGGAGAAGACGGTGCAGCAGCATGCGGGCGAGACGGACCCCGTGACCACCATGAGGGCCATCCGCAAAGAGAAGGACCAGTTCAAGGTGCCACGCGACTAGGCGGCCGCGGGCCTCCTGGGCACTCAGATGTGCCGGGTGCCTCTCCGGCCACGACTGCAGGAAGCTCAGTCTCAGTTTAATTTTAAATTAATTGCAGAGCGCTTTGCTTGTGTTATCAAATGTTCTAATGCATATTTATAAGAGAAGAAGTTTAGAAAGTGTGTATTCCTGGGAGCTCTGCTTGCAGACCGTGTGTTGTCGCCGACCTTTCCATGGGCGCCCCCACGGTTGCCGTGTGAAGCCCCCACATGACACCCCAGGAAGAGCTGCCCCCTCTGGCCCCGGCGAAGCCAGCACGCCCTGTTGGGGTGGGTACTCTCCCTTTTCTCGCCCCTGCGAGCGGATGCCTGGCACCACCACCCCCTCCCCACCCCTCACGGGTCGTGTCCAGGGTCGTGTGTGTGCTGACGTGCAGGGGACCCCAGGCCGGGCGCAGCGTGGGGCGGGGTCTGGGCGCCATCCCTGTGAAGGCCGCCCGTCCCGAGACTGTTCCAGGGGCCAGTCTCTGGTCCCACCTGCTGCGGTGATGCCCCCTTGACGCCTCCTCTGGACGGGTCATGGCATGGCCTGGCTGTCACTGTCTCCCTGGATCCCTCAGATCCTGTCCCAGCTGAGCGGGCCTGCGTCACCCCACACCACCTGTGTGGGCTCCTCTCCAACCATGATGCTTTCTCTGTGGAGCCTGAGCTCCCTGGAGACCTGGGGGGTTTGCACAGGCCCTCCTGGTGCTGACCTCGGTCTTGTACCAGCGACTGGACTTTCGGGAGCAGGAGCCTCAGGACGTGCTGTGGCCTCGCGCCGTGAGGGTCGCGGTGGGCACCACGTCTGTCCCTCCAGGCGGCTAGTGTTGGTGGCCCCTCCCAGGGATGCTGAGCTCCGCCAGCAGCACAGCGATCACACCGGGGTGAGCGCTTCTCCTCGGAACCCACTGCCAGAGGCCCCTGGCCCCCAGCAGCCTGGGCCTGTGTCGCTCATCTACAGAAACGTGAGGAGGAGCACGCATACCATCCTGCTCCCCTCCTCGTCCTCCGAGAACCCAGGGCACTCAGCAGGGAGCGCTTCTCTTGGCACAGTCGTGATGGTGCTGCCTCCAGGCAGTGGGGCGCGTCCTCACTCCGCCGTGGCTGGTGCCCTGCAGTCACAGGCCCTGGCGGCGGCTGCGCCGGGGACGTGGGGCTTCCTTCTCAGCAGCTCCCGCTGCGCTCAGGGCGCCTCCCCACGTGCTAGACACCCTCGTCCTCGCTGGTCTGGGGCACAGGAGGCGCTCTGCAGGCTTCTCATGCGTCTGCCTGGCTCCGACCCCCTTCCACATGCTCACGGGCTGCTGGGATTTCCTTCCTGGGGACCGCCTCTGCTCCCGGGTTTCTTCACTGGTCGCTACCAGTGTTGATCACTAGGAGTCCTCTGTTCCGCGTTGCATAGTGTATGGCTTCTTTGCTTCTGCGTGTTTGCAGCCTCCTCCTAGCTCGTTGCCGGCTTCACTCTCTGGTGTCTGTTGAACAAATTCTTGATGTTGTCAAATGTATATTTTTTTCCTTCACAAAAAATGTTCTTGGTGTTTAGCAACCTGTTTAGCAACTCTTTGCCGCCTCTGACGCCGCCCTATAATCTGACCCAGTGGTTTCTGGTTTGTGGTTCTTGTTGGCGAGCTGTTTGTGCTGGTGTCTGAGGGACTGACGCCTCACGTCCCAGCCCCTCTGCACTGCCCGCCGCCCCAGCAAGCCGGCACCCAGGGGTCCAGCCTGCCCCATGGGCCTCCATCCTGTCCGTCCATCTGTCTGTGCTGACGATGCCTCACAGTCCCTGTATGGTTCTTCATCCCCAGGACTGCGGCCCAACCTCATCTGTCAGGAGAGTCCTGGCTCTTTGCTCTTCCATGTAAAAACCAGGGTGTTCATGTCTGGGATCTGGGATGGAGTAATGTCCACTCACTAGGCTGGGAAGAAGTGACCTCTTGTGATATGAAGCGTTTCCAATTATGAAGACGCTACTTATCCATCTGCTTGGGTCTCTGCTGCCATGTGCGCTGTGTTTAGGGCTCAGGTCAAGTCTAAGATGTCTCCAGCACCTGGGGGGTCCCAACGCCAGGAGCCGGAACGTGGGGTGGAAAGGCTGTGGCCGGGCGCGAGGGGCGGGCCGAGCAGGGCGGGCTGGGCTGTGTTGCCGGGGGTTCCCCGGGCCCTGGAGGGCCGCAGCGGGGCTGGGAGCTGCTGGCGCGTCTGCCGGCCCAGCACACGCTCCTCAGGTCGTCAGCTTCCGGTGCCCAGTCACTGCACTGCCGGGCCCCATTTCCTCAGCACGCTCTCTCCTCTGGGTCTGGAGGTGAGAAGGGAACCCGGAAGCCTCCTCACTGCTGGGGGAGTCTATAGAGAAGGAGGTGCTAGCCTGAGCCTGGTGCATTCTGTTGTGGGAATTTTAAAAACCGTGATCCCGTTGTTTAATGGTGAGAAGAGCTGTTGCCTCCTTCAGCCACTTTTGGCAGGCTACTTCCTTTCCTCCATTTTCAAATCCAGTCTGCTGTGTTCTCTCGTCTCTGCCATGGCGTTCATCTTCCCTGCCCCTTCCAAGCAGAGCCCATTGCTTTCTGTCCTCTGGCTTCAGGGTCCTGCTTCCTAGCTCCTCAGGGGTCTCTCATTCTTCCTCCTGAGTAAAAAAGGAGAGGCTTTTCCTGGACCATCCCCTTCTAGGGACATTGGTTCTTAGTTGGGGCAGCAGAGACTCCTGGGGAAGAACTGGATCTTAGATCTGGGAGTGAGCCTGGGCTGGGTGCTGTGGATCCAGAAAGGAAGGCTGGTCCTACAGCCGGCTGCCCCCAGGATACGCGCACCTGTCCCACACTGCCCCCAGGGTACGCGCACCTGATTTTCTCTGGCTCTGAAGCTCAGAGTCATCTTATTCTTGGTCGGCATATTTTCTTAAGCCAGAATCTTGACTTCTTAAGGTCCCAATAATCTCTCTTTTCTTTTCTCTTATATCTGTTCTAACAATCTTCTATTGAAGAAATGAGTATGTCATGTTTACTTTAAATGGGCAAAACTGAAAGGGAAAATGGGTACTTTAGCATTAATGGAGATTCTTTCATAGTCCAGTTGATAGCAGGCATTATCACTCAACCAAACCTACTTACAGAACATCCCACCAACATTTCCAGGAGCTCATGGAACATTCTCCAGGACAAATGATATCTTCAACCCACAGATCATGATGAATTCTAAAAGAACATACTTTGTATAATTCCAAACTCCAGTGTCATTAGGTATCTACAACACAGTGAAGTCTGGAAAAACCCAAATGTTTGGAAGTTAACACATCTAACTACTGTGTGCGTCAACCAGAAGGGAAATGAACACAAAATTTGTGGGACACAGCTAAAGCAGCGCTCAAGGGAAACATAAAGCTTTAAACAGCTGTATCAGAAAAGGCCTCAAAGAACCTGGGCTTCTGCCTTAAAACACAAAAGGAGAGAAAATAAAACCCAAAGGAAGCAGAAATAATGATTAGCAAGGAGTCAGTGAAACAGAAAACCGGTTTTTTGCTGACCAACAAAATAACACACGAATTACCAAAATCATGATTTTTGAAAAGGGGCACATCCTATCAATCCTAAAGAAATGAACAGAACTTGTAAAGGAATACTAGGGAAACTGTACCAACAAATTAGATGAAATGGACAAATTCCTTAAATTGATCTAACAAAAGTCTTTAAGTCTTCATGCAAAAACATGCTCAGGGCCACATGGCTTCACCAGCGCATTCTATCAGTAATGCTAATACTCACTCACAAGCTCTTCCAGAAAACACAGGAGGGGACACTTCCCAATTCATTCTATGAGGCAGTTATCCCAATACCCAACAAAACCAGAGATCAACGTCCCTCATGAACACAGGTGTAAAGTCTTTAAAATGTTAGCTATCAGAATACCATGACATTCCACACCATAGGCAGGTGGGATTTATAACAGGAACACAACATTGACTGAACATCTAAAAGTCAGCGTAATAAACCACAGTCATAGAACAAAGGACAAAATCATCTCGATGGATGCAGGAAAACGTGATGAAATCCCACACCCGTTTGTGGTTTTTAAAAAAAAACCAGGAATCGAAGGGAGCCTCTTGGAATTGATAAAGGACATCTGCTTAATCTCCAAACACTGCTGTATCAAGTCATGGCAACTCAGTTGTTTGAAGCGGCACAGATGTATCTCCTGCCAGTCCGGAGGTCGGAAGTCAGTTAGGAGTCCCCCTGAACTGTCAGCAGAGCTGGTTCCCTCTGCTCCAGAGGAAGACTCCGTTTCCTTGCCCTTCCCTGCTGTGTGAGGCGCATGAGTCCCTGGGTCCTGACCCCCCTCCTCCATCTTCAGAGGTCAGCAGCTGGGGGCCGAGTCCTCTCACGGCCCCACAGTGGCCTCATCTGACGCTTTAATCCACTCCAGAGATCGCCTGGAATTACAGTGGGGCCACCTGGAAATCCACGTTCATCTTATTGTCTCCCGGTCAGCTGATCAGCAGCCTCAGCTCCGCTCTGCCACATGACCCAACATATTTGTGATTCCAGGGATAAGGACACGCATTTCGGTGGCTGGGAGCACTTTTCTGCCTGTGACCCCGTGGATCAGAGACGTAAGCCAGCGTCGTTATTCACGGTCAGTGATGGAATGCTATTCACTTAAGTCAGGAACACAGCAAGGCTCTCTGCTCTTGCCACAGAAGGCAGCACACACCACACTGGAAAGGAGAAGGCCAGAGTGTCCTTACTCACGGATGGTGTGATGTTACACACGGCTCCCCTGGCGGCTCAGCTGCGGATGGTGTGATGTTACACACGGCTCCCCTGGTCGCTCAGCTGCGGATGGTGTGATGTTACACACGGCTCCCCTGGCGGCTCAGCTGCGGATGGTGTGATGTTGCACACGGCTCCCCTGGTCGCTCAGCTGGCAAAGAATCCGCCTGCACTGCAGGAGACCTGGGTTCAATCCCTGGGTTGGGAGGATCCCCTGGAGAAGGGAATGGCTACCCACTCCAGTATTCTGGCCTGCAATAGTCTATATAGCGCATGAGGTTGCAAAGAGTTGGACACGACTGAGCAATGGCTTATCCTAGGGATCCAGCTACACACACACATCTGGGACTAATTAGTAAGGTCCTGGGATACACGATCAACAAAAGAAACCTGCTGTATTTGTACATACTGAAGGCAATCTGAAATGAAATTAAAAGAACTCCACTCAGGGACTTCCCTGGTGGTCCAGTGGCTAAGACGCCACACTCCCAATTCAGGGGGCCTAGGTTTGATCCGTGGTCAAGGAAATAGATCCACATGCTGCAATTAAAGATCCTGCATGTCACAACTAAAGATCTCACACACTACAGCTAAGACCTGGCACAGCCAAATACATACATATATATACACACATGTATATATGTGTATACATATATATGTTTATTTGAAGAACCAAAAAACGGCTCCATTCATATAGCATCAAAACTCATAAAGTACTTAGAAATTATCAAAAGTAGTACAAGATTTATATACTGCAAACTACCAAAAAAAAAAAAAACTGCTAAGAGAAAGAAAATGTAAATAGATTCTATATTCCTTAATTAAAAGATTTTTGTGATCTTGGGTTAGGCAAAGAGTTTAGACACCACATCAAAGTCATAAGCCATGAAAAAAAAAAACTGATACACTGGACTTAATTAAAATAAACTCTTACTTCAAAAGACAACAGCAAAAAAGAGCGGCAAGCCACAAACAAAAATATCTGCAAATGCTATCCTTGACAATCCATAAATATAAAGTCATGTCTATAATGTTCAGTGTAACAACTCAGTAAGGAGACAGTTAAAAAATGGATGGAAGTCTTGAATAGACACTGTGCCAAAGAAGATATAAAAATGCTAATAAACACATGAAAAGGTGCCCAGTATCAATCGTCAGAGAAACACAGAAGGGCTCAAAACCAAAACAGAGCAAAGCCGACTGTACCAAATAGCAGTGAGGATGTGGGACCGGACTCTCACAGTCTGTAGAATTACACAGTCGTTTTGGAAAACATTTTTTAAAAAACATAAATACTATGTGAACCAGTAACTCCACTGGTAAGAATCTACCCAACAGGAGTGAAACCTACGTCCACACAAACGCTCACGGCAATGTTATCCATAGTAACCCCGGAGAAACCAACCAGATATCAATCATCTGAGATACGGGTAAACGGATATTACCCAGTCACAACGAGGAATGAAGCGCCAATGCACGCTTTGTGGATGAGCCCTGAGAAGATGCTCAGTGAGCAAGGGGGGATGCAAAGGGCGCCTGCTGCCCGGGAACGTTCCAAAACTACCCGTGCGTGCGCCTGCACCGCAGTACACACTTGCTGAGAATCACTGAGGTGTGCGGTGTGTTGACGGGTGGATTTTATGGTGTGAGAATTGTTATCAGTAAAGCTATTTTAGAAAAAAAAACTGTTGGGTAAAGGCATCACAGTTGATACTTTATTACATTATCCCAGCATAGTTCTAGAAAAACATTTCAGCCTAGACAAAATGAAATGGAGGAAAAAGTGTAACAATAACAGTATCAAAAGTAACAACCATCCATAAAACCAACCATTAAAAACCATTTAAAATCAACCATTTAAAAAAAAAAATTTAAATATATGAGAGATCACACAGAAATCTACACAAATAACAGGGAGAGAAACTGAAGAAGGCCTAATTGTGCCATGTCCACACTGGAAGGGAGGACTCAAAATGCAACACAGGTCAAAACCGGACAGGCGGTTGTCATGGACATGTGACAGGCTGTGCCCCCCGTGGACAAGGAAGAGGCCGGAAGCCCTGCAGACGGAGAAGGGTCTGCTCTGCCTCCAGAGTTCAGGGGGAGCCCAGAAAGGGCCCAGCTACTTGGACCCTGACCATGGCAAACTGGTGCCTGAGAGGGAGGAGGAAGGGAAAGCTACCGCTCCAAATGTGGGGAGGCGGCTGTAAGCCACCAGGAAGAATGAAGCTCAAGCGCCAGCTCACTCTTAGGAAGCGAGAGAGAGGGGACACCCTGAGACCACCTCAGAGAAAAGACAGGGATGGGTCCACCAGGTCTTTTGAGAATACACTCAAGTCCACAGGCGGAACAGGGCCTGACACCACGAGGAGCTTGATACATGCATCAGCCTAGATTAAAAAGCTTTTCTCCCCGCAGTTTTTCCATTTAAGGAGCATCTTATGAGGCCACATTAAAATTAAGAACTCTCACCAGAATCACAATGAAGAGAATGGAGAGGCAGACCACGGTGCCGAAGGCAGGACCACTGGCCACACACACCTGACAAGGGGCTTGCATCCAGAACACGATTTTAAAAAGTCACACTGACAGCACCCAAATAAATCAGCAAGAGACTGAAATACGTACTTTACAGGAGACGACAGCCCACTGGGCAATGAGTCTCTGAAGTGTTGCCTGCCGTCACTGGTGACTGAAGGAAGGAAAGATAGTGACGGCCCCTGTCCACCCACCTTCGGGCTGAGAGTAGACAGGGTGGGCTGCTGTTGAGGCCCCCGGGGCCCCAGGAGCGGTGTGTGCTACCTGCCAGGACGACACACCCTGGTCCCAGCAGGTCCACTCAGGACACAGAAACGTGCACGGGCCCCTCAGGGTCGCAGCCCCACAGCAGGAAGCAAGGAGGGGTCTGCAATGTGGCACCATGTCCATGAAGACCAGAAACCAGACTCCACAGGGGGCCCTCCGGGTCAAGTGGAAAGAGGCCAGGGCAGTAGTCATCCTGGATCAGGACAGGCCACCCAGGCGGCCAGGACAGAGGTCTTCTCCCAACTCAGCGGGCTGACCACCAGCGCTACTGCAGGACTTGAGCAAGGCTTACAGAGGGCTAGCCCGGCTGCCGCAGTCCTGATGGGTTCCCCACCACACACGCTCCCCAAGGATTTACAGGAAGTCCCACCCCAGCCCTGTAGGTGTCAGGGGACAGGCGCTGGCCGCTTGCTGGGCTGGGAGCTTTTTGGTGCAGAGGCCCCGGGGCCCGACTCCTGCTGAGTCCGCACTTTCTACTGTGTAAATGCGTGTTTGCCCTGTAAACTTCTGGGTGTGGACTTTCTCCCTGCAGATCTATAATTTCTCAGAAGAGAAGCTGAGAGATGACCTGGAAAAAAATCAAAGCTCGATAAATGGAGGAAGACAAATCCAGTCCCTGAGTCATGGCATGAGCGGGGGAGGGGCCACGAGGCAGAGGATTTCTGGGCCCGGTGGCTCCTGCCTCACCCCAGCCCCCCTCCTCGGGCTCACCGGGAGGCCTCCACAAGCCTAGCCTTACCCACATGTGCTTCCACCTTTTTCAAGCCCTGCTGACACAGGCCCTCCACCCCAGGCGGAGGAGAGGAAGGGGTGGGCGTGCGCAGCAGCCACGGGCAGGGTCCTGGTGAAGGGGAGGGGCGGCTGGAGGCCAGCCTGGGGACGTGGCTGGGTCTGGAGGAGCGAGGCCAGGGCCACCCACTGGAGCGGCCTCCCACGACTGACCTGGGGCTGACCTCAGGCCGGACACTGGGCCCCCCCACCCCCGCAGCCTGCACAGTGCGGGGTGGCCATGCCCTGCGGGTGTCCCAGAGGGCAGGATGGGGCCTGCTGCTGCGGGGGCTGGTCTCATGGCCCTGGGATCTGGTCCCTGAGGCCAGGCCGCCCCCAACTCTCCTCCCTGGAGAATAGGGCCGGGAAAGCAAACAGAGCACCCGGCCAAGCATTCCTAGAAGAGGCTGGGGGTGGGGCACAGCCAGACAGCAGCTGACCCTGAGGTCACGGGAGAAGTGGAGGCTGGGCTGGGCCTGGGAGCTGACCGAGGACCCCACCCAAGGGGGGGGGAGGAACGGGTGGGGCGTGGTCAGCATTCGGCTGACCAGCAGGCCCAACTTAACTCCCACACGACCATCGGCTGGGCAGGGAGCCCCCAGGAGCCCCCGAAGGGCCCCCACCACCAAGCAGAGGGCGGATGAACACTAGCGCCTCACAGGCTGCTCCAAGGGAGACCCCCGCCCAGCACTGCCTGCAGCCCCAGCTCCACGGCCAGCCCTGCAGGGGGACGGGTGGCGGAGGGGGGAAGCCATGACGATGGGGGATGGGCCCGCGGGCCTCAGAGCTGCCCCCGGGGGCGCGGCGGGCAGACACCGCCCCCAGCCTGGCCCCTGTGCCACCTGCCCCCCGCCCCGCTCTCAGAGCCGCTGCTGGCACCCGGCAGGAGGGGGTTAACGGCGCCGGGGCCAGCAGCTGGGCTGGCCGGTGACACGGGTGCTGGCTGCCCCGCAGAGGGGAAATCCAGAGGGTAGGAGCAGCGGCCCAGCAGACACCCCGCTCCCGCTCAGCACGAGGGATGGCCCCGAGGAGAGGTGAGGCTCCTGCGGCCCCGCCACTTGCCCGGGGGTGACCAGCCCGTGCCCCCGGCCCACCAGGGTAGGGGCTGCCCCCGGGAAGGCTTCACTCTGGGAGCCCACGGGGGAAGCGTGGCCAATCATCCGGGGGATCTGGCCCTGGAGAGTCACTGTGACTTCAGCCTACCTCCTCTCCCGCCCCAGACGGGGGCGCAGGGGATGCAGGGCCCCACAGCACCCCGGGGCCCCGCCCAGGCCCCCCCACTGCTCGGATGCCAGGCCACGGCCACCCGGTCCCCTTGCAGAGCCTCGCCCACCCCAGCTGCCGTGCCCACCCTGAGACCTGGAGCGCTCAGGGCAGGGAGGGGCCCACTGCGGGGGACAAGCCCAGTGCCCAGTGGAACTTCTGGGGGGCCTTGTGGGGAAGACTGGCATCCTTTGTCCAGTGACAGAACCAGTCTCTGGTGGTCGAGGCTGGCACTCTCCTCTCCCCATGCTGGCGCTGGGCTCAGTCCCTGGTACGTGCCACACACACACCAGGGAAGGGGGCACCCCTGATCGGGGGTCCAACGGGGGCAGTGGGCATCCAGCTCACTGTCCAGGTCCTCAGGGCAGCAAGTGCTTGCCCACCCAGGCCTGCGCCAGAAGCTTCTGTCACTCACACCTTTCTCCAGGCCTGCCTGGCAGCCCAGGCTGGCTTGAGTGTCCACCTTGGGGATGAGGCCGACACACAGCCTAGTGGCCAGGTCCCCGGACCCCAGTTCCCTCTGGTCCTGCACAGTGGCAAGGGCAGCCGGTCTCACCCTGTAGGCCATCCTGGTCCTGCCTACTGACGGGCGGCCCGCATTGCTCGCCCATACCTTCCACTCCGGTTAGCAAGGCCTTCTCTTAACGGGTGCGTGTTGTGGTCCCGGGGTGCAGCTGAGGCCTGGAAGGTCCCATGTCTTGCTCCGACCTGAGTCCCCGTCCCGGGCCTCGTCCCCAAGCCCCTCTCCCCGCAGGAGGCCCGGCCCTGGTGGTGCTGCTGGTCTCCTGGGCAGCGCTGGGCCCCCGCGGCCTGGAGGGAGTGGAGCCCACGGCGCCAGCAGACCCCGAGGGCCCACAGTGCCCAGCCGTCTGCTCCTGCGGCCACGACGACCACACAGACGAGCTCAGCGTCTTCTGCAGCTCCCGGAACCTCACGCGGCTGCCCGGGGGCCTCCCGCCCGGCACCAGGGCACTCTGGCTGGATGGGAACAACTTCTCCTCCATCCCCACGGCCGCCTTCCGCAACCTCTCGGGCCTGGGCTTCCTCAACTTGCAGGGCAGCGGGCTGGCCAGCCTGGAGCCGCAGGCGCTGCTGGGCCTGCGTGGCCTGTGCCACCTGCACCTGGAGCACAACCGGCTGCGTGCGCTGGCAGCCCACACTTTCCTGCACACACCCGGCCTGGCCTCGCTCGGTCTCAGCAACAACCTACTCAGCCGCCTGGACGAGGGCCTCTTCCGGGGCCTGGCGCACCTCTGGGACCTCAACCTGGGTTGGAACAGCCTGGCCGTGCTGCCCGACACTGTGTTCCAGGGCCTGGCCGGCCTGCGGGAGCTGGTGCTGGCAGGCAACAAGCTGGCCTACCTGCAGCCTGCGCTCTTCTGCGGCCTGGGCGAGCTGCGAGAGCTGGACCTGAGCCGGAATGCCCTGCGCAGCGTCAAGGCCAACGTCTTCATCAAGCTGTCCAAGCTCCAGAAGCTCTACCTGGACCACAACCTCGTGGCCGCCGTGGCCCCGGGCGCCTTCCTGGGCATGAAGGCGCTGCGCTGGCTGGACCTCTCGCACAACCGCGTGGGCGGCCTCCTGGAGGACAGCTTCCCGGGGCTGCTGGGCCTGCGCGTGCTGCGCCTCTCGCACAACGTGCTCGCCAGCCTGCGGCCCCGCACCTTCAAGGACCTGCACTTTCTGGAGGAGCTGCAGCTCGGCCACAACCGCCTGCGGCAGCTGCCCGAAGAAGCCTTCACAGGCCTGGGCCAGCTGGAGGTGCTGGCCCTCAACAACAACCAGCTGCAGGAACTCCGGCCCGGCGGCTTCCTGGGCCTGCTCAACCTGGCCGTGCTCAACCTCTCCGGCAACTGTCTGCGCGACCTCCCGGAGCAGGCCTTCCAGGGCCTGGCCAAGCTCCACAGCCTGCACCTGGAGGGTGGCTGCCTGGCCCGCCTGGGCCCGCTTGCCTTCGTGGGCCTCTCGGGGCTGCGCCGGCTCTTCCTCAAGGGCAACAGCATTGCAGACGTGGACGAGCGCAGCCTGGCGGGCCTGGCCGAGCTGCTTGAGCTGGACCTCACAGCCAACCAGCTCACGCACCTGCCAGGCCAGCTCTTCCAGGACCTCGGCCGCCTGGAGTACCTCCTCCTCGCCCGCAACCGGCTGTCAGCGCTGCCGGCGGACGCCCTGGGGCCCCTGAAGCGCACCTTCTGGCTGGACATCTCGCACAACCGCCTGGAGACGCTGCCCGCGGCCGTGCTCGCACCGCTCAGCCACCTGCGCTTCCTCAGCCTCCGGAACAACTCGCTGAGGACCTTCGCGCCGCAGCCCCCGGGCCTGGAGCGCCTATGGCTCGAGGGCAACCCCTGGGACTGCGGCTGCGCGCTGGGCGCCCTGCGGGCCTTCGCCCTGCAGCAGCCGGCCTCCGTGCCCCGCTTTGTGCAGGCCCTGGCCGAGGGCGACGACGACCGCCAGCCACCCGTGCTCACCTACAACAACATCACCTGTGCCAGCCCGCCTGGCCTGGCGGGCCTCGACCTGCGCGACATCGGCGAGGCCCACTTTGCCCACTGCTGACCTGAGGCTGCCCCAGCATCCCGACGGGCCCTCGCAGCCCCGGGGGGACACAGTTCAGGACCTGTGGGGCCCAGCCTGCTCCCTCAGGGCCTGTGAGGGTCGGGGACATGGCCTCCCCAGCTGTCATCAATTAAAGTAACAGAATAAACGGGGCCGCGTGTGCGGGCAGGGGTGCAGCTCAGTGTGGGTGGGGGAGGTGCTAGCCAGGGCCCCTCTGCCTAACGCAGCCCCACGGCCCGCCCTGCGTCCAGGCCCCCTCTTCATCTGTGAGCCCCCAGGAGCCCCCCCGGGAGCGGCGGTCCCTCACTCGTGTCCTCTGGGAGCCTCACGCGTCAGCCCCTCGCCAGGGTCCTCAGAGGCAGCTTGGTCCTGGGAAGCGGGGGCAGGAGCGGGTGCGACCCTCCCTCTCTGGGTCCCTGTGCTCCCGGCCATACCCCCCACCCCCAAAGGAAGGCCCCTGGGGTGCACTCATCACCGTTGCCCCCCCAGAAGTGGGGCCCAGGCCTGCATGCACCCCCGGCCAAGCACCCAGGCTCTTCCCAGGGAGAGCGGCAGGCGGGCTGCCCAGGATGCACCCCAGCCTCCCCAGGACCCACGCAGGGGAGAGGCCCGGGGCTCCGCTCCACACTGTCCTCTCCTGTCAGCCCTGCCCCCAGCCCGGGGCAGGCCCTCGGCTGTTGCTAGGCCAAGCCTGGCCATTCACACACCCCAAGCCACCCAGCACTCCACACGAGCCTCACCTGAGGCTCCAGGGGCCTGTCGACAGCAGGACTGCTGGCCAGTTCCTGGGACTTGGCGGGGGGGGGGACACTGCACAAGACACAGTGACACCTGGCCAAGAGGCGGGGCCAGGGCGTAACGCTCTAGAAAGGTCGGATGTGTGAACACAACGGTGGAATGCATTTATTGCGGGCTCCTCTGAGTTACAAGTTTGACATCTTATTGGGTGTCGCCTCCTTCACTGGGCTTCCGGGCCAGCGGGCCAGGAAAGCTTCCAGATGCACCAGCTCTGTGAACGACGTGGAGACTCGGCTGTTGGGAGCAGCCGTCTGTCCAGGCTACGGGGGTACCGAGCTGCGCCAGCAGGGAGGGCAGGCCACGGCACGGGGACCCCACGCTGTCCTCGGGTGACCGGGCAGAGCCACTCACTGTCAGTGGCTCAGCCAAGATGCTGCCAAAGCTCTAGAAACGTCCCAGACGGGCCCCGCGGGGAGAGGGGTACACAGGGCCTGGCCAGGTCCCCACCCCAGACCTCCAACCCCACAGCGCACAGGAGCGCTCAGCCTGCCTTGGTCAGGAGAGCCCCACGGGCGTCTCACTGAGAATCTTCTGGGCGATGGAGGAGAGCGCAGGGAATGCGGGGCTGTCGGGGAAGTCCTGGATGAAGTCCCGGCCGTCCTCCAGGCTCCGCGTTAGCTCGGGGTCCAGAGGCACCGAGCCTGGGGGCGGGGGCAGGGAGAGTGGGCAGTGAGGGCCAGGCTGGGAGGCCCTGTCCACCCCCTCAGCCCAGGAGCCCGTGGGCAGCACTGCCGAGGCCCGACAGGACTGGCTCCCGGGCTGAACCTCCCCAGGACGCCCAGCAGGCCCCACTGCCTCCTGGGTGCTCCTGCAGAAGGAAACACAGGGCGCCTGCAGCTCGCAGCTCTCACGGGGCGGGGGACGGCGGGGTGGGAGGAAGACCCCTCTCGCCTCTCCCCAGGGAGCAGGGCCCTGGGGCAGCCCCGGCCCACTCACCCAGGAAGGGGACTCCGGCGTGTCTCGCCAGCTCCTCACCGCCTCCCTTGGAGAAGACATTGGTGCACTCCTGGGACACAAAGACACAGGGTCCACCTGCTTCCTCTCTGCCTGCGGGGGGCGGGGGCGGGCCGGCCACCCACGCCCGCGACCGCCCAGGACTCACCGAGCAGTGGGGGCAGACAAAGCCGCTCATGTTCTCCACGAGCCCGATCACCCGCAGCCCCACCTTCCTGCAGAAGGTCAGCTCCCGCCTCACGTCCCCCACAGACACAGCCTGGAGGCCGGGAAAGGGGCGGGGGCTGCAGGTGGGTACCCCGGAAACAGCCAAGATGGGCGAAGAGGGCAGGGCGTCTGCCCTGGGGTGAGGGCGCCCCGTGGGAACAGTACCTGGGGCGTGGTGACCACGAGGGCCCCCAGGGGACTGTAGGGGCGCAGGGCGTCCACCACGGCCATGTGCTCGTCAGAGGTCCCTGGGGGCGTGTCCACAACCAGGTAGTCCAGCTGCCCCCAGGCCACGTCGGACACAAACTGCTTTATCAGCGCTGCGGAGACCCAGGGAGGCTCGGGGTTGGGGGTAGCGGGCAGGCAGGCAGGGTCTCACCAGGCCCACACCCCCTCCTGGCCCCAGGGCGGCGCGACCTTTGGGTCCCGGGCCCACTGGCATTTGGAGAGCCGTGTGTGCCACTGCGCGCCAGGGGAGAGACCCTTCCCCAGCCCCCCAGGACTTCAGCTCAGGCCCTAGCTTTGATGGCTGGAGTGGGGACCCTCCAGGGGCGGATGTCTGTGCCCCAGAGAGGCGGCCTGCGGGGAATGCCAAGAGGGCATGGCCTGGGAGCAGCCCCTGCCCCGGACTTGCTCCCACACCTGACAGCCCCACGCTGGCCTTCGGAAGGAGCCAAACCCTGTCTGCTGGGGCAGAGGCATCAGACCTCTGGGGAGGACCAGGCAGCTGAAGGCCTCATGGCTGCAGCTCACACTCTCGCTCCCCAGGCCTGCTGTCTGCATACTCGCAGGCTTGACAGGTCCGGGTTGGGGGGAGCGTCTTGGAAGTGAAGAGGCGGGCGCCAGTCTTTTCCCCGGCACCCAAGGTGGTGGGGCGCCGGCAGCTCGTCGTGGCATTACCGTTCTTCCTGGGGCCTCTCCACACCAAAGCCTCATCCGGCTGCTCCAGCAGGAAGCCCACGGACACGAGGGAGATGCTCTGCTCCCGGTCCACGAAGACGGGCACCCAGCCGCTGTCGCCCTGGTGCACCGCCCTGCCCTGCGCTCGGAGCATGCGGGGGATGCTGGGGCCGCACAGGTCCACGTCCAGGATCCCCACCTGCCGGGGGCGTCCACTCGACTCATGAGAGGCTCCAGCCGGGCGCTGCCCTGCCTGACCACCCAGGAGAGTAGGGCTCGCGAGGAGACAGGAGGCGCTCACCTTCTTGCCCGTGTGGCGCAGGGCCAGCGCCAGCTCCGTGGAGATGGTGCTCTTCCCGACGCCCCCCTTTCCCGAGAGGACGAGGATGATGTGCCGGACGCCGGCCAGGTTTCCAGGCTCTGGTTGGAAAGACAGAGGGGAGGAGGGCTGGGTGTCACCTCTGTGCCAGCCGCCCTCCGCTGCCCACTCACCGCGGCCACCACGCATGTCCTACACCCAGGTCCTGACACAAGCAAACGCAGCCACGCGAGAGGGGTTCCAGCAGACCCCAGACCCAACCCACTGCGTCCTCAGAGACGGCCTCCCCCGCTCGGTCTGGAGCAGGGGTGCTGTGGCTAGAAATGCTGCAAACCCTCCGCTCTGCAGTGCGCACACGTGAGTGCACACACACCTTGCATGCACAAGGCCAATTCCAGCCAAAGCCTCCCAGCTGGCTCCAAGGGATGAGGGTGGAGACCAATGTGCTGCCAGCCCCTGTGCCAGCACCTCTAGGTCTGACTGCAGGCGGGCAGCGCCCTCCTCTGGGGGCAGAAGCGGAACTCCTGGCAGTCCCAGCCTCCTGCTCAGGAGGGAGCCCACAGCTCGAGGAGGCACCCACACTATGTGAGGGGACAGAAGTTAGGTCACTCGGATGGCTCACAGTTGCGTCTTAAGAAACCCTGGGTACCCCCAGGGCGCCATAGCACCAGTGCCAGACCCCAGGCAGGCTCTGCCCCAGCTCCTGTTTCTCCCAGTGAGCCTGAAATGCCACCGTGAACACACTCACCACTCCCACCCCTGCCACCCGACACGGGCGCCATCTGTGTACAAGCAACCCTCAGCCCCTGCAAAGTACCCTGAGGCCCTCACCAAAGAGAGTCCCACCTGGCCTGCAGCAAGCTGCTTGCTCCAGCAGCCTCCCTGCCCCCCGGCTTTGCAGGAAGGGCTCAGCGTGAGGTGAGTGAACACTGTCTCCCTCCTGACCCATCTTTCATGGGCAGGTGCAAAGGCTGCTGCCACCAAAGGGTCCCTGGAAGGAACTCAGGGTGCACCTGGCCTGGATTCTCCACTGTCGTAAGGCAGTGCAGTGCCTGCCCTGGGTCTCCTTCTAGAGATCCTGTATGGTGACGAGGAAAGGTCACCATCCCCCAGCCACGGATCACTGCCGACAACACGGCCACCATGCCTCAGGCCACTTCTGTGATGACTTAAAAGGCTATTACTTAAACTGCTTTAGTATCAGAAAATAGTAGGGGGGCTTCCCTGGTGGCTCAGTGGTGAAGAATCCTCCTGCCAATGCAGGAGACACGGGTTCGATCCCTGCTGTGGGAAGATCCCACATGCCACCGAGCAGCTAAGCTTGTGGGTCACAACTATTAAGCCTGTGCTCTGGGGCCCGGGAAACACAACTCCTGAAGCCCACAAGTCCCAGAACCTGTGCTTCGCAACAAGAGAAGTCACCGCTCGCCACAACTAGAGAAAAGCCCACGCAGCAATGAAAACCCCAGCACAACCTATAAATAAATAAAAGTATCTTTTAGAAACAGTAGTTGGGAATCAGTTTCACCTTTCTTTGGTGGGCAGATGGGCACTTGGGCAGACACTTGGGAAAGAACAAGGCAGATGTGGGTCCTGACACCTACATGCCCTCCATGCCAGCGCTGCACTGCCAACCTCATAAGAGTGACGCCTTGCTCTCCTCACTGGTGGGACTGGGGAGCTTCATCTGCCTAAGCCTCAAACAGGATGTTGCGGCTCCCATTAGGTAACTGAAAGGAGCCGCCAACTTCCCAGACCACAGTTCTCAGGAGCCAACCACAACTTTTCCTCATAAGTAAACTCAAAGGCTTACAAACGATGACAAATCAAATGCATACTACTACATGGGAGAGGCTGCCCTGGAAGGGGCAAAGGAAAGCAGTGTCTCCCCCACGGAGGGAAGTGAGGGATCCCACGTTTGGATGAGAAGACTAATCAAGCAAGCCTTAAGTCCAACCAAATCAAGATTATCTGATACACTGGACAAGTACCAGAACCTTTGTATATAAAGAATCTCTCCAATAGGATACAAGCAACTGACAACAGGAGCTGCCTCTGAGCACAGGCAGGTTTACTGCATAGCCTATGAGGCTTCTCGAATTTCTGTGTGCATTTGCCTCTTCGTTAAAAAAAGCATTCATTATCAATCTAGAAACCATCCCCCTCACCTTGTATCAAGTGTGCCCTCATCATAACAAGCTTCTTCTGATTTTTCTCTCCAGTCTTACGTTTATAATCTGATGGATGAATCCAGCGTTGTAAACGCTCTGTGCTCAAGATATCAGACCCGAAGTCTTTTAGAAAATAATGTAGCTAATCTGTGCGAATCCGGCTGTGCCCAATGTATACTTTGGGTCCAAAGCAGATTTCATTAAAGAAAAAAAAAAGGCTTAGAACAAAATAGAACTTCTACAAAAAACAGAATGTGACGTTCCGGTTTCTCTTAGAGCGCCTTATTCAAGTAAGACCTCCTTCTAAGCGCCGTAGTGACACGTGCGCGCACCTCTGAGAACTTTATACTGCAAATAAGACGGTGTGCTGAAACCCGGCGCCACGACTAGCAGCTGCGGGCCTGCCCTATCCCTCTCGCCTCGGCACCCGCCGACCCGCGACGCCCCGCGGTCACGCACACTCACCCGCAACAGCTTCCATCCTGCCCCCAGCTCACCCCGCGTCCTCCTCGCAGCCCGCCTCCGTCCAATCTGAGTGAAGCGCCTTCGGACCAATGGGCAACGCGAACCCGCCCCAGCTCCCCTTGATAGGCCCACTCGCGCTACCCTTAGCCAATCAGATTGCCCAAGGGGTGCACGCAGGTTCCGGCGCAGACGGCGTACAGGACAGGGACCCACTTCCGTGTCAACGCCCCAGCACGGGACCGCTTCGTTTGCCCGCACCCCGCCCAATAGGCTCGCGGGACTTGTCTCCGACCGCTTCAGATATGGCCAATGAGGACGTCGATCTAGGATTGACAGGCCCATCAGCCTCTCAGCAAGAGGCTTGTGCCGCGGGGCCCGCCCCTCTTCCGAACGCCGAAGTCGAGTGCACTGCGGAGCCAATGCGGCGCGGGGGGCGGACCGCGGGGCGGGGATTGTTTACGTCTTGCTCCGGAGCGGAAAGTAGGTCACGGCTGGCCCGGCTGAGCGCGGCAGCGCAGAGCGGCTGCAGGTGAGCAGCGGGCTTCGGCCGCTCCTCCCCGGGTCTTCAGAGCCCTGCTGCCCAGCCTGGGTCGGGAGCCCACTGCACCCGTTGGCCTCGCGGAGCTGCGGGCGGTGCGCCTTTGTTCCGGCGGCGGCGGCGGCGGGGCCAGAAGAGGCGGGCGAGGCTCTGCGCCGCAGGCCGGGCGGGGCGGCGGGTGGGAGGAACCCCGCGACCCTGCCGACCCTTAGACAGTGCGATGCCCGACGGGGAAGCGACCCCTGCTGCAGCGGGGTAGTCTCGGGGCCGTGCATCCCCAGTGCACGGCCTGGCGCCTACTGTTGCCGTGGCGGTGGCGGGCGGGGCTTAGGCCGGGCCCGCCGTGGCCGGCTCCAGTAGCGAACCCGGGTCTGCAGACGGGCTCCCATCCCTCAAAAGCTGTGCCTGCGGGCGTCCCCTGCCGCCCCTCGGGATCGTGGCGGGGGACAGTCCCGGCCCTCCTGGGGAATTTCAGTACAAGGTCCCAGAGATCGACTTGTAACTGTAAGTCGGGCTTGGAAGTTGAGAGCCAAAGACGGGAGGGGAAAGCGTTCTGGGCAAAGGGCTGGAAAGAACCAGCAGCCGGAACAGGGCCGGAACTTGATGGGCTTGGTAGGATTTTACATTTTATCCGGAGAACAATGGCAAGCCCTGAGAAGTTTATAACTCGCTAATTCAAAATTTTTTAAGATTTGTGTTTCGAAAAAGCTGGGTTGTAGTGAATGAAGTGGGCGGAGCCGGAGCGGAGGAGTCGTGCGGGGGTGGGGGAGGCGCGGTGGCGGTAGATGGTTCAGGACACCGTTGGAGGTGGTGTGGGTCGTGGAGGGCCGTGGTGGGAGGAGGTGTTGGGATGACTGCTGTGTGTCTGGCATGAGGAACTGGGAGGATGGAGATGCCATTTGTCAAACTGGACACCGGAGGAAGGGCAGGCAAGGCTTGAGATGCCCGAGGGACGGGTAGGCAGGACATTTGGGTTCCTGAGGCCAAGCTCAGAGAGGGGACTTCGAGAGTCATGGATATCTGGGTGGTGTTCCATACTCTCTACCTGAGTTTCATCAAGGTGCTTGGATCCTGGAGCGAGGTACCAGCTTGTGAAGAGAGTTCCAGACTTGGGTGGGCTGGCACAGGCTGTGGGACCAACTGGTGTGCTGCATCTTTCTCTGCTCTGACCCTGTGGTTTCTTCCAGCTCCTGTCCACCATGGCCAGGCGCCCGCGGAGCAGCAGAGCGTGGCATTTTGTCTTGAGCGCAGCCCGCCGGGATGCGGATGCCCGGGCTGTCGCTCTGGCAGGGACTGCCAACTGGGGCTACGACTCTGATGGGCAGGTAGGTTCCAGTGGGTGAGGTGGGCATGGCCGGACAAAAGTGAGGAGACCCCCCTGGGGCAGGCATTGCCTGAACTAAGATGGAAAGGGAAAGATGGACCTGGGGGCAGAGGACGGGGTCACCTCGGCTGGACCAGTTGCTGTGTGTGCTGTTTCCACTCTCCCAAGCACTTCATTCCGGTTAAGGACACATGTGGCCTTGTGTGGTGGGACCTCAAGGCAGATACGTTTCTCTGTAGTGGGTGTCAGTGCGTACTTCGGTCAGTTGACTTAACAAAAACATCTCCATTCCATCTACTCGGCCAATTATAAGGGTGATTATTGTTATCTCCAAGTGCAACATTTTGGACATTTCCTCTGTCTGTTGAAGCCTGTGCTCTATGTTTGTGTATATGCACCTGAAAAAAAGAACTTTGATTCTTAAAGACCAGTATTCCTGTGCCTTCCTGTGCTCAGGACCCTGAGCTCTGCGAGGCCCAGGATCACGGAGGCTTTAAGGAGGGCGGCTCAGCTGTCTGTCTGCAGGGCGGGTTCCTGAGGGGCCTGGGGCTTTGCAGTCAGAGCCTTGTTGCGCTGACCCTGTGGTGGGGCTGGGTGCACTCTATATCTGCCATGGGGTGCCTCACAGTCAGGATCCTGAACCTCTCAGGGCAGAGCCGGGCTTTGGCTCTGCCCTGAGTCCCCTCTACTGTTCTTGGGGATCTCTGACTTAACTCTGGTCTGTTACCCTCACCTGGCCTTGGTGCCCTGGCTCAGCCACGTGTCTGGGGGGGGACAGATGTCTCTCCCCCCGCCACCTCCAGAATGAGGGCAGCTGAACCCCTGGAACCACCAGGCTTTGGGGGGGAATTGGAGCTGGTGGTATCCTGGGCCCCCTTCCCGGGCCTCCCTTAGCTCCCTGCCCAGGCCAGCGAGAGGCCCCGGCCTGCATTCCTGTCCCGCCTCCAGCTACCACTGACCACGTGGCCTGGGCAGTCTTTTCTGCCTGCGCCTGCCTCGCTGGCTCATTGCTGTGGGATGCGGGAGGCGTCCAGGGGCTGGAGGCGCGGTGTCTGACACACACTTGCAGTTGGGTCGTCCAGCAGCCCTGAAGGCTGCACGCACACATCACTGCCCCCGCTGCCCCGAGCTCTCTGTGTAGCTTGCGGAGAGGCAGGTTCTGCCCTCCATGCAGGGGGTTACGTGCTGGATGCCAAGCATGGGAACTCCAGGGCCAGCGGTGCTCAGGTCTGTGCCCTGGCTCGGGGAGGGGTGTCTCCTCCCGCAGTAGGGGTCCTGCCTGTTCCTCAAGAGCTAGGTGCTGTGGGCCCTCAGCCTCTCCGTGGTTACCCATCTCCGACGGGCTTGACCTCCTCGCTCCCTGCCCAGCTTCTGTGTTGCTTCCCTCCTTTGTGGTGCTCAGGGCTGAGTGTGATGGAGCAGGGACTCCATCCTGGGGGCAGGAGGCAGGTGAGCAGGGAGCCGACAGGAAGGAAGAGGACACAGAGCACGGGCCTGGCAGAGCCTTTTTGAACTGGTATCCGAGAGAGAGATCCAGGGGCGAACAGACCCTGCCCCACCCCAAGGGGACAAGTGTGGGCAGGACAGGGGGCTGGGTGGGGGCGCTGATGCTATCTGAGGAGGGTAAGTGTGTGGGCTTTGCTCTCAGGGCAGCAGGATCTCAGATCTGAACAGGTCCGCTGGACTGCTGTGCAAAGGGCATTTCGGGCCAGAGGGGCACCCAGAGGCCAAGAGAGTGAGGGCGGAGGCCTGAGCACAACCAGGAGCCCAGGCCAAGCTGGGAGAGCTCAGCGCAGGCACACGGAAGCAGTCTGTGCTCTGGGCCTTCGCTGGCTGGCCGGAGTCCGGAGCCCAGGTGGGTGCCTGGAGGCACCCTCACTGGCTTTCAGGAGGGTCTGGTCAGCTGGTCTCCAGACCCTGGCCAGTTCAGCCTTGGCGTCTAGTGCTGGGCTGAGATCGGGCCCCTAAGGCTTGGAGTCTGTCCCATGAGGACTGAGCCCCCGTGCAGAGGGCCTGAGACCACAGGGCTCCCTCAGCAGGGCCATGTGACGGGGGCTGAGCTGCCCCAGGCACAGACGGGGGAGCCGCAGCCTGGGCCGGGTGTGCAGGCTATGCCATGGATCGGGCCCCAGGAGCCCTGCTGCTGCTCCGGGGAGGCCAGGCTGCCTTCCTTAGGTCAGTGGCGGGCTTTGCCGTAGGCTCCCCTGTGTATCTGGGACCTAGGGGCTCTGGGCCTGGAGGATGGCTGAGCGTGCAGCCCTGCCGGGGCGCCGATAAGCTGCCGGACCTCCAGGGCTCTTGACTCCATCCCAGGAAGCCTCCTTGTGGTTGGCCCTCGAGGAGGCCGGAAGAGCTGTCTGTGCTTGCAGCAGCTGGCTGTGCTCTGGGGCAGTCCTCTGGAGGCCAGGCCCCAGGTCCCTTCCTCAGGACGTCTGGCTGTTGACCCATGGACCTGTGGTGGGGCAGGTGGAAGGAGGGCGGTTGGGCCAGTACCGGCAGGCCGGGCGGGAACATCTCCCATGTCCCCCAGCACAGCGACTCAGACTCTGACCCCGAGTGCACGTCCCTGCCGTCATCAATCCCCAGCGCCGTGCCGGTGACTGGAGAGTCCTTCTGCGACTGTGACAGCCAGAGCGAGGCCTTCTGCGGCAGCCTGCACACTGCCCACCGGGGCCGGGACTGCCGCTGCGGCGAGGAGGACGAGTGTGAGTGCGGGACTGCGGCAGGCGGGCAGGCAGGCGGCCTCCGGGCAGGCTGGGGCTCAGCTGGGCATCTCGCTCTCGCAGATTTCGACTGGGTCTGGGATGACCTAAACAAGTCCTCGGCCACCCTGCTGAGCTGTGACAACCGGAAGGTCAGCTTCCACATGGAGTACAGCTGCGGCACGGCAGCCATCCGGGGCACCAAGGAGCTGGGGGAGGGCCAGCACTTCTGGGAGATCAAGATGACGTCGCCCGTCTACGGCACAGACATGGTGAGTGGCCAGCGGGGCCGGGAGGCGGGGGTGCTATCAGGCACCTCGGTCCCCTGCCCCCTCTGCCCAGCCCCCTGTTCCCAGATGGTGGGCATCGGGACGTCAGATGTGGACCTGGACAAGTACCACCACACGTTCTGCAGCCTGCTCGGCCGGGACGAGGACAGCTGGGGCCTCTCCTACACAGGTGCGTGGGGCCCAGGCGGGCGGGCTGGGGCCCCCCAGGCTGCAGGTCTCACCCCAACCCTGCTGCCCCCAGGCCTCCTCCACCACAAGGGTGACAAGACGAGCTTCTCCTCGAGGTTCGGCCAGGGCTCCATCATCGGTGTGCACCTGGACACCTGGCACGGGACACTGACCTTTTTCAAGAACAGGAAGTGCATAGGTGAGGGTGAGACCTACCGTGGCTGCAGGGAGCGGGGTCAGAGCCCCTGGGGGTGCTGAGTGCCCTGAGGCTATTCCCCCCCTCCCCCAGGCGTGGCGGCCACACAGCTGCAGAACAAGAGGTTCTACCCGATGGTGTGCTCCACGGCAGCCAAGAGCAGCATGAAGGTGATCCGCTCCTGCGCCAGCGTCACGTCCCTGCAGTACCTGTGCTGCTACCGCCTGCGCCAGCTGCGGCCCGGCTCCGGGGACACGCTCGAGGGCCTGCCCCTGCCGCCCGGTCTCAAGCAGGTGCTGCACCACAAGCTGGGCTGGGTCCTCAGCATGAGTCGCCAGCCTCCTGCACCCTCGCCTGCGGCCAGCGGCCCTGAGCCCCGGCACTGCCAGCGGAAGCGCTGCCGAAGGACCTAGCCTGCTCCCTGATCGAGACCCCTGGGGCTGGGACAGCGCGGTCCTCGCCCCGCCTGTGGACTGCCCCAGGGCCGCCGAGGGGAGGACCGAGCTGAGGTCTGTCCCTCTGCCCCTCTGCTGCCGGAGGATAGGACAGGCCTCACTGCAGGGGCTCGGGGCTATCAGCCCTATGACCCCGAGACCCAGCCTGTGTGCTCCGGTGCTGGGCGTAAGAGCAGCTGCCGCCCCAGCGCATCTGGGCTCAGGCCTGGGGGACTGGCAGGGGAGGGGCTGGGGGGCTGTGGTTCACTGCCTGCGAGGAGGACGCTCCTTGAGGTCGGCTCTCCCTGCCACCACCGGCCTCAGGTTTTTCTTAACTTGCTTTGCATGTCGTCAGCTCTGTTCCTCCTGTCTGAGGCTGAAAGCGACCATAATAAACTCTAAGTCTGATGTCCACCTGCCTATAGAATGAAGGGGGTCAAAGTGAGGCCTGGGGCTCATAGGTATTCGCGCTTGTCTCCTCTTGGGCCCTCATGGTACCCTGGGAGAGGTGGCCTGGTTCTCTCTCATCCCTCTGAACCTTGTCTCAAAAATGAAGGTTCCCCCACCCCAGCCTCCCAGTGATGGGAGTTTCCCCTGTGGGACCCGAGGCCCCCACAGCCCGTCCTGCTGGTGCCAGCTGTCCACCAGCCCCTCGGCCAGCATGCACAGGTCCAGGGCACGTAAGCCCCGCCCCCCACCGTCTCGAGACCTTCCACCGGCGAGCAAAGAATTTCCTCTTCTCCCAGTTATGCAAGATTTCTCTCTGCTGCCCCCTCATCCCCCAGCTCAGGGTCAGACTCGACTGAGAGCCCCGAGAAACCCAGGTGCGGGGCGCACCACCCCCCGTGGTTTCCCGCGGGTCCCCTGGGCGGCCGTGATCACTCCTGCCGCAGGTGGGGGGGCCCTGTGTGGCCCCACGGGCGTGGTCAGGAACCCAGGTCCAGCAGGAGGTCGGGGTCAGTGGTGGTCAGGAAGAGGCAGATGCGGCGGGAGAGGTCGGGCCCCACCCTGCGGGGCGGCACACCCTTGCCCGTCTTCACTGGGAGGTCGGCCAGCAGGGCCAGGCGCTCCTGCTCCATGCCACAGGCCATGTACGCCTAGGGTGGGCACAGGGGTGAGTGGCAGGCCTTGGGGAGCCGGCCCCGTTCCCGGGGTTTGGGTGAGGGCGGGCACCCACCTGTTGCAGCAGGCGGGGGGATGGGAAGGCACTGACAACAGTGTCAGCCACGGCCGGGCTGACGCGGTTGAACTGCCTGACCTGCCGCCACCAGGCCCCCCGCAGCCCTGCGCCGTCTCTGGCCACTCGCTCGCCTGCCGCCCAGCGCCCAGAGGTGCAGAAGGGGAAGGCCCCAGACTCCCGGGCCTGCCTGGGGGGCGGGGAGGGTGCAGGGAGGCGCTAGAGGCCCCTCACCTCTACCAAGCACCCCACCCCCTGCTCAGCAGAGCCTGGGACCCCTCGGACACGGCCGCCCCCACCCGCAGCTCCCAGAAGAGAAAGGGTCACGCACTTGAAGGGGCGCTGGGCGAGGGCCTTGGTGAAGGCGCACACGTGCTGGCTCAGCTCCTGCCAGGAGGCCACCAGCAGCACGTCCACGTTCGCCCAGAGCTGCAGGTGCACCAGGGCCTAGGTGGGAGTGACCGCGGTGTGGGGCACGGGGCTCCCCAACAACACATGCCCCCACGGGCCACACCGGCCCCGATGCGCCCTGGACAGCAGCCAAGGACCAGGTCCCAGGCCCACCTCACCGTCTCACCTCCTCCACCTCAGGCCAGCCGACCGCCCCCTTGGTGCGAGTGACCGCTGGATGCCCTGGCTGCTGTGTCTCCTGGGCTCTGGGCTGCTGAGACCTGGGCAGATGGACCGTCCCTCTGGCCCCTCACCCTCCCTGACCCTCTTCCATCCCCCCGAGCCGCCCAGGGGAGGGGGTCAGCTGTGACGCCAGCCCCCAGAGCCACCCTGCCTTCCCCGTGAACCCTCCCGTCCTGGTGAGGCGGGCCAAGGGTGTCAGGGTGACCAGTACCACAGGTAAGCGTCCAGCCCGATGACAGCCAGGTGGAGGCAGGCAGGGCTCTCAGGTGTGACCCAGGGCACAGAACAGGTCAGGCCACATACCTGCATGCCAAGGAGGCTCACCTGTTCCTCGGGGCTGTGGCAGGCGGGGCCCACCAGCCAGTGCCAGCTTGCAGGAAGCAAGCAAAGTCCTTCCAAGAAGGACCCCTCAGTGCTGGGAGGGGGCGGGGTGGACTCCTCCGCCCGGCCTGCTCTCTTCAGAAAACCAGCCCTGTGCTTGCCACAGGGAGGTCTACGAAAGTCCTCAGGCACATCCCAGGTGCCTAGAAGACTTGGAATGAAGCCCCCTCCCCATCCCTGGCCCACCTCTGCCTGGCACAGAGCAGGTGCTTGATGAACTGTGAACCCTGAGACTCAGAGCCTGGCAGAGGGTCCGGCCTAAACAATACTCTGGTGCAAACGTCAGCTGAGAGCAATCCCTATTTCTCCTCGTGCCAGGAGGGCTGGGTTGTGGGGTGTCACAAGGCCGACTGCACAGCCAGCCTGCGGCCCTGGTCCCCAGGCCTCCACCCGCAGTTGACCATCTAACTTCTAACTCAGGGCTCAAGAGAACCTGCCTCATTGTGGCTTCTGCGGTCTAGAAGCAGCTGTGGCTCCCACCTGCTGCCAGCCCAAGAGCCCAGCAGTTTCCCCCAGTTCAGCCCTGACGCCCAAGGCAGAGCACCCAGCCCTGCCATCTGCCGACAAGGCTCTCCTCCCACTCCTCCGCCGCACCTGGGTCAGCTGGACCACTCCGCGTACAAACTCTTCAGGCTCCAGCAGCAGCAGCACGTGGGGCTCATCCTCAGCCCACACCTCAGGGGGCACCTGGGGGACATGGGGGGTGCTGCTGCCCACCCCGGGCCACAGTCCGGGCCCCCAGGAGTCCCGGGGCTCACATAGGTTCTCCCCGGGTTGCTCTCCACCAGCCCAGCATCCCGACTTCTACTAACACCGACCCAGAGGGCCAGGCGGCTACGCCTGCGGCCACAGCCTGGACGGGCTGGGAGGGCCGGTCCCTCAGCGCGGCCCTTCCTTCAGGCTCTGGGTCCCAGCCTTTTACCGCCCGCTCCGCACCCCCCCTCCCCCATTCTCAGTTCGCTCCTTTGGAAAACGTGCCTCTCAGAGCATCTCTGCTACGTTAAACACCCAACCCAGGGCTGCACTCGGCCCCCACCCCCGGGACACTCACATCGCGCGGGCAAGGGTCTGGGCTCGCTCGGCTCCAGCGGAGGCTCCGCGCCGGGCGCTGCGGCTCCACGCGGGGCTCACAGCCCAGGGCGTGCAGGGCCTCCATCAGGGTGTCGGCACCCGCGTCTTCCAGGACGGCTGAGACGGGGCGCAAGGAGGCCGGCGGTCACTGCTCCCTCCCCCGCACGGACACCGGACACCCACCGCCCGGACAGCGCGCTGCCAGCACTGACCCCCGGCCGGCTCCCAGGGCGCAGGGCGGAGTCCGTCCAACCGGGTCCCCCAAGGCCCGGTTCCCACCAGGGCGGCTCCCCGCACCTGGGTCCACGAGCACCGCCAGGCGACGCACCGCCTGCCCGGGCCGCAGCCACCGCAGCGCCTCGGCCGCCGGCCTGCGCTCTCCCGCCGGCTCCCGAGTCGTCGCGGGGGTCTCCACGCTAGCCGGGCCCTCGGCGTCCGAGTCCGAGATCTCCCACGTCGGGGGCCGCCGCTGTTCCCGGCCCCGGCGGGCGCCCCCGGCCCTCCCGGGCCCTGCCCTCGCCATGGCCCGCCCGGCCCCTTCTCCGCTTCCGGCCGCGCCCGGACTCCTTTGCAAGGGACACCCGCCGCTTCCGGCGCCAGGCGGGTCTGCAGCGCGGCGGCGGAGGCATCTTCCGGCCGGACCGTGGAGGCCGCCCCGGCCATGGCGCGCAGGAAGGTGCGGCAGCGGCTGATCGCCGAGCTAGCCCGCCGTGTGCGGGCCCTGCGCGAGCAGCGGGAGCGACCGCGCGACTCGGTGCGCTACGCCCTGGACTACGAGACGCTGATGCGGCCGCACTCGGGCCGCAAACTGCCCATGCGAGCCTGGGTCGACGTGCGCCGCGAGAGTCGGCTCCTGCAACTGCTCGCCCGCCTCCCGTTCTTCGGCCTGGGCCGCCTGGTCACGCGCAAGTCCTGGCTGTGGCAGCACGACGAGCCGTGCTACTGGCGCCTCACGCGGGTCCGGCCGGACTACACGGCGCAGGTGCGCGCACCGCGAGGTCCGCGCCGCTCCCAGCCCCGCGGGGCTCCGGCGCCTCCCCTGCGAGCCGCTGAGTGGGAGGGGGTCTCCTGTCGCCCGACCCCTGGGCGAGCGCTTCCCGAGCTGACCTCCTCCCCTACTTGCTTTACAGAACCTGGACCACGGGAAGGCCTGGGGCATCCTGACCTTCAAAGGTAAGGCGTCGGAGACTCAGTGGGGAGGCTGCCCGCAACAGGTTGTTCCGGCAACGTCTGAGCAAAGGTCCCCGGTCTCCTCTCCCCAGGAAAGACAGAGAGTGAGGCCCGGGAGATCGAGCAGGTCATGTACCACGATTGGCGGCTGGTGCCCAAGCACGAGGAGGAGGCCTTCACCTCTTTCACGCCGGCGCCGGAGGAGACGCCGCGCCCCGTCCCCTACCCGCCGCTCCTCCGGGCCATGATTCTAGCAGAGCGACAGAAAAGCGGAGACCCCAGCACGGAGGAGCCCATGCTCAACCTGGAGAGGATACGCACTGATCCCTGGGACTATCCTGAGAACCTGGAGGCGAAGAAAAAGACCAAGGGCACAGCAGTCTAAAGTGCGGGAGCGGGCAGGCTGCCCCAAGGGTGCAAGACAGTGGGCACCCCTTTGGGTCACACCTGAATCAGCCCCCTTGGTATCTTGGATCTGATCTCCCCGCCGACTTGTCGACGTTCTAAGTTTTCGTACAAAGGGCGTACCCTTTGTCTGCACCTTATCTCCTCTGTCCCGGCTTCCCCAACTCGCAGATCTGACTGCCAGAAGTGGTTCCTGGGGGCACGCTGGAAGCAGCAGGGCAGCAGGTGTGGAGCCCAGTGCTGGCCTGTCACTTCCACTTTGGCTTCCCCTCCCACGACCCGGGCAGAAACTGAAAGCGAATAAAGGCACATGAAGTAACCTGGGATGTGGCTTCTTTTGAGTTTGGGGTTGGGGGACCAAAGCGGGCTGGTGGCAGGGCTTCGGGGAGTAACAGGCTGTCACTGCTGCTTACGACCCTTGGTGCGGAGACCCCAGGGGACTGGGGAGGCCCGGGCGCGGCCGTAGAGGTCCCGGTGTGGGCGTGGACGACAGGCGCCGCCTCGCCGCGCCCACCGAGGCTGCGGCTCCCAGCGACAAGACCGCTTTAAGCACAGGCTCCGCCCCGGTCCGCGCACCGCCCCCGCCCCGGGCCCGCGCCGCCTAAGCCCCGCCGTCGCCATCATGATCTGCCTGATGCTGACCATCTTCGCCAACCTCTTCCCGGCGGGTGAGCGTCGCGGGCCGGGCCACGCGGGGCGGGGAGGGGGTGCGGCCGGGCCTGACGCGCCCCGACCCCGCCGGTCCCCGCAGCCTACACCGGCATGCACGAGCGCACCTTCCTGGCCGTGAAGCCCGACGGCGTGCAGCGGCGGCTCGTGGGCGAGATCGTGCGGCGCTTCGAGAGGAAGGGCTTCAAGCTGGTGGCGCTGAAGTTGGTGCAGGTGAGCGCCGGGGTCTCCAGCCGTGGGGAGTGGGGCGGGGTCTACGGGGCGTGGGGCGGGGCCCCGGGGGCCAGGATCCCCGAGCACGCGGCTTGTCGCCCTCCCTCCCCAGGCTTCGGAGGAGCTGCTGCGGGAACACTATGCCGAGCTGCGCGAGCGCCCCTTCTTCGGGCGCCTGGTCAAGTACATGGGCTCCGGGCCGGTGGTGGCCATGGTGAGTGTCGGCGGGCGGGCGCGCAGGCGGGTGGGACGTTGGCCCAGCGCTGACCTCCGACTCTGTCGGCAGGTGTGGCAGGGTCTGGACGTTGTGCGCGCTTCCCGGGCGCTCATCGGAGCCACGAATCCGGCCGACGCCGCGCCCGGCACCATCCGCGGCGATTTCTGCATCGAGGTCGGCAAGTAAGTCGGGTTCCGACTCCCCATAGTGGGCTGCGCGGGGCCTTGACCGAGCTCTGCCTGCCCCGGGCTGTGCTCACGCCGCCTCTCCCGCACAGGAACGTGATTCACGGGAGCGACTCGGTGGAGAGCGCCCGCCGCGAGATCGCACTCTGGTTCCGCACAGACGAGCTCCTGTGCTGGGAGGATAGCGCGGGGCACTGGCTGTACGAGTAGCCGGGCCTCTCGGGCAGGTGTGCCCCTCCGAAGCGGGCTGCGGCTGACCCCGCCCCCTCCAGGCCCCACCCCGGAGCTCAGAGCGCCTGTCCTGTGGTAGCCCAGCGGCAGCCTTCCGGAGGGCAGGTGGGTGTCCGCCTGCCGAGCTCTGGTTGCCTTCCTGCCCTGGATGGGGTTTTCAGGCGCCTCGGCCCAGCCCGCTCCTGTTTACAGCTTGCCTGGAAATGCAGCAGGGCGCAGCTCTGGTACTTGGCTTGCTGGGGCATTTGTTTTTATAATAAACGGAAGAAAACTTTTGTGCTCCAGTTGGTTTGGGCCCAGGGACACAGAAGTATGGTGTTAAGACATTTATTACATACAGAGCAGATACGTAGGGTCACTTGCAGGGCCAAAGCCTGAGGAGAATCGTCCCAGCCCCTTCCCCTGGCTGCACCCACCCGGCTCACCCCCAGGTCACTTCAGGCCCCCTGAGGACAGAGAGGGACTTGACGGACGTCACAGTGGAGAGTGGCAGGGCATGGGGGAAGCCTGCAGTGGTACCGGCTGGGCTTGGGGGCAGCTGCCCGGGGTCTGTGCTTCTCTGTGGGAGGGGGTGGGCAGCAGGGCCTGGGCGACCCTGCCCAGTGCCTGGAGGAACAGGAGTGAGGCCTGAGCAGGGGTTGTAGCAGTCCAAGGCAATGCCCCTCGGAGCAGCAGGCACGGACGCCTAGCAGCTCCTCTCCTTGGCCCTTGGCCTCTGCTGAGCAGTCAGCCTGTCATCAGGGCCCTTACTGGAGCAGGCCGCGCCACTGGCCCCAGGCACTTAGTAGCGTGTCTTAGGAGCGGTCTCCTCAGAGACTGCACTGGAGGCAGGCCCTGGAGCACTCCTTCCCATCACCCTGAGGCTGAGCCTACATCCAAGGACTGACCCCAGGAGAGGCCAGGGCCCCCCCCCCTTCTTCCTGAGGCCTGGGCCTGCCCTGGCAGCCTGAGAAATTCCACCCTAGGGGCTTCCGAGAGGGGTGGGACTCAAGGGGCCTGCTCCTACAAGGTGGGTCTTCGCCCAGGTTGAGCCAGTGGTGAGGGGAAGACACGGGTCAGTGAGGGCCTAGCACACGGGATGATCACAGGGCTCGAGCTGGATGAGGGCGTCTATCTGTCTGTCTTCTCGAGCAGCTGCCCCAGGGAGCTTGGTTACGTGCTTTCATGCCGGTTCCCGGGGTGGCAGGGTTTGGGGTGGGGGGAGCCCAGGGAAGGTGAGCGGCTGGGCCAGCTCCCTGAGGGTTGGAGCCCCGCTCTCGTGGACAGCAGTCAAAGGCAAGTGGACCGAGGGTAGGAAGACTCAGCAGGGTTGAGTCCCTGTTTGCTCCCTGGGGGGACCCTGGGAGAGAGTGATGGGAGTGGGGGGCCCAGGGTGCCAGCTAGGGCTGCCTGTAGGGGTGTGCCCTGGCCTGATCCCCCCTGGGGTTCTGCCTCGCTCTGGCCCTGCAGTGCCCTGGGCCTGGAGGACTTAGGGCCGGGTGCCGGCCAGGAGCTGCTGGGAAGCCGGTGTTCCAAGAGGCTCTGCGCCTCCCTGGTCAGAACACTGCCCGCTCCCCACCCCACCCCCAGCCAGACCAGCTGCTCTGCCAGCTCGCGGAGGGGAGGCCCCGGGCCTCAGGTGAAAGCTGCAGGTTGAGAGGTCAGAAGTGGGGTGGACGGGCACCTGGCCGCCCTGGGGCGGCGGTGGGCAGGTGGGCGGGGCGTATGTACAGGTGCGGGTGGCATCAGGCGGGCAGGGTGGAGGGCCGCAGCTCACTCGGGGGTGTAGGACACCTGCCACACGATGATGTGGCTGCGCTCAGCCTTGGACAGCACCGGCTTCACCTGGCTGACGTCCCCTGCGCCCTCCTCCGGCTCGTCGTCCTCGCCGTCGCCTGGGGAGAGCACGGCTGCATGAAGAGGCTGCCCACCCGGGACGCCCCGGCCCTGCCCCGCGGCGCACACTCACCAATGCGGAAGTCAATGTAGCCCTCCCCGCCGCTCAGCACCAGCACGTTCTTCAGCTTCTGGGCCTCGGCATCTGCAGCGGGAGCAGCGGGCCCGGGGCCCTCGGATGGGCTGTCGAGCACGCTGCCGTTCAGGGTGGCCAGCACGTTCCCTGCCGACGGCACAGGGCCTCAGCGAGGCGGCGGGGGCCCCACACGGTCTCCTGCCGGGGCCGTGCTACAGCCCTCGGGGTGGGGGGTGCCGGGAGCTCACCTGGCACCGAGACGAAGAACTTGACGGCATCCCGGTGGCCGTGGAAGCAGAGCTGTGCCTGCGCCATGGAGCAGTAGGGGATGAAACTGCTGGCTGCCCGGTCGCTGCTGTCGTCGCCATACACATGAATGACGCCACCGGGGCGGGCACCCTCTCCCGACGTGGGGGACGTCTTGTTGGCTGAAGAGAGAGGGGCTGGGGGCGCTGAGCCTGCCCACTGGGCGGGTCAGCCTTCCAGCAAGCGAGGGATGGGGTGGGGCCCGCCTGGGGCCCACAGCCAAGCCAAAGGCAAGGCCATCTCAGCCCCAGGGCATCCAGGATGGGGGCCTCCTGAGAGCAGAAGGCGGGCACTTTGGACTCACCTCTCAGCCCCAGGAGCTGGCCTCGGTGCAGGACCACAGCTGGAGAGGGTGAGGGTGAAGTAAGGAAGGGAGAGAGACTGGTGGTCACAGAGGTCACAGAGGGGCAGCCTGCGCCCCGCCCGGGACCCTGACGTGCGCCCACCGTCTCCGCAGGTGCCTGGGGCACTCACTCTCGGTCAGGGGGATGGAGATGACGACTCCGTTGCCAGTGCCCACCCAGAGGCGGTTGCCCGCGATGAGCAGGGCTGTGATGCGCACGAAGGAGAAGCCCAGCTTTCCTGTGCCTGTGGGGGCAGGGGGTGGTCAGCGGGCAGCCTCGGGGGACCCCTGCCCCCACACGCTGGCCAGCGCCCTCACCCAGCATCTTGCTGACGTAGGGCTCGATGTCCACGTCCTGTAGGTGCTGGTGGGTGTGGGCGTGGTAGAGCCGCAGCGTGGAGTCCAGGCGGATGGACACCCAGACCCCGTCGCCAATCCACGCCAGCTGCCGCACCTGACTCTCCCGCCGTGGGTGGGCATCAAACGACTTCTGTGGGGTCAGGGCAGCCCGTCAATGGGGTGGGGTCCCTGAAGTTGCCACAGCCAAGTGTCCTTGAGGCAGCTCACGGCCGCCTTTCAGGGCTTCGTTGCCCTCTCCTCCTGGGGGCCCCGGGACCTCCCCACAGGCATGCCAAGGGAGGTTCGTGGGGCCCGTGCAGACTGCGACTGCTGTGTCAGGGGAAAACGGCAGACGGACTCCAGGCAGACAGGCATTCACAGCCTGGCCACCCTTTGCTGGCCCATGACCTTGGACGAACCAGTCGCCCCCCTGAGGGCGCTTCCTGCGACCCCATGAAGCCCCCATGTGGGGAGCCCTGCCGCACTCGCCTCGATCTGCATGGTCTTGGGCTGGATGACGTGGACCTTGTTCTTGTAGCCGCACCAGACGCGGTCGTGCACGACGGCCATGCAGCGGATGGAGTGGTGTGGGTGGCCCAGGTCCATCAGGTGGTAGTTGCTCAGGTCCCACTGGCCGTCTGCAGAGAGCGCGCAAGCCCTGCTCAGGCCTGGCTGGGCTGCCTCTGCTCACGTGGGGGAGTCATACCCCGAGGGGATGTCAGCCCCCGCTGCATCCCCAAACTAGGTCTCACCTTCACCCCGGTGGAAGATGGCCAGTGTCCCGTCGGCCAGAGCCACGAGCACACGCCCCTTTACATGCCTGTGATGGGAGGGCAGGTGGGTGGTGAGCTGGGCGCAGGCCACCACCCTGGGCCCTCCCTGCCCTCCCCCCGGCGGGGTCACGCACACCAGGCTCAGCACCGAGTCCTTCAGCTTGATGGAGTGCAGACACTTCTTCCAGTTGGCCACAGCCGAGTGCACATAGAGCCTGCGGGAGGAGGCTGGTGGGCAGGGGTGCCCGGGGGGCCTCCCCACCCTACCCCTGGGGCCCCGCCTACCAGCCGTTCTGGGCTCCCAGCCACATGGTGGGTGCAGCGCTGGTGCTGCCCGCAGGGTCCCCGCTGGGCTCTGGCTCGGGCTGCGCACCGCTCACGTCGGCCTCCGGCCCGTTCTCACTGTGGGGAGGATGGTGGCTCCAGGGAGGTCCACAGAGGCCCGGCCCCCACCCCCACCAGTCCCCCCCATTTGGCTGCCCCACCCTGAGAGAGCCCACCTGTCAGGCTGGGCGCTGGGGGGCGGGGTGGGGGCTGGGTCCATAAAGACATGCTCTGTGAGGGGCCCGGGCCGAACAGCAGCTGCCTCTGCCTCGCTGGGCCCTGCGTCTGGCACCTCCGTGGCCTCCGTGGCCTCCTCCGTGGATGGAGCTGGGTTGACCTTCCCATTGGTGACAGCCGGAACCTCCCCTGTAGAAGGGAGGGGTGAGAGGAGACGGCCACAGGCCTGGCTTGGGACTCACCCTGGCCCTCGTCCAGCACCGAGGTGTCCCCAGGGCCCAGGACTCACCCTGGCCCTCGTCCAGCACCGGGGTGTCCCCCGGGCCCAGGACTCACCCTGGCCCTTGTCCAGCACTGGGGTGTCCCCCCGGGAGGAGCAGTTGCTGCGTGGTACGTTGCAGCGCGTGGCACAGCCCACCAGCGTGATGCCCGCCAGCACCCCGTCCGCGCCTGAGTCCTCGGGGTTCACGTCACTGTCCAGGAAGATCTCCCCTGGAGGGTAGTCGCCGTCGCTGGCGGCTGGAGGGAGTCACAGCCGTCACCCCGCTCTGAGGAGCCCCCTGACACCCCCCCAGCTCCAGTCCTAGTGCGGGTGTCCGGGAGGGGAGGGGCCGCTGTGATGCCACCCCACCTCCTTGTCCCAGGTGAGCGCCACACTGGGGTCTCCGCCTGTGGCAGCAAAAGGACGGGGCAGGACGTGACCGCCAGTGAGCTCCCCCCTGGACGCACACTCTGGGGACTCAGCACCCACCGGGGATGCTGGAGATGCAGAGCACATGGGCATTGCACACGGTGAACTGGTCCACGACGGTGCCTGGCTGGTTGGCGTCGATGACCACCACTTTGCTGGTGGTCAGCGTGCTGGTGAGGATCCACACGCGGCTGGAGGTGGCATCCGCCTCGGGCAGCTCCTTGACCTGTTTCCAAGCACAGGGACAGGCTGGGGCGCCCACTGCTCCGGCAGCAAAGGGGGCCAGTGAGGGGACCCCACAGTCTCTCAGGATCTGGCCTTGCCCGTGGCCTCAGGGCACCTGAACACCCTCCCCTGTGGCCAGGACGGCAAGAAGGCAGAACTGTACTCTGTGTCTAGGTCCAGGCACTCAGGGCCTCGCCTCCCCAGAGGAAAGCTGAGCTCCCAGCATTAAGGCACTGACTCCCATCTCAAGCCTGGAGGTGAAGTGAAGCCCCAGCATCCAGCCCCTAGCCCAGCTCCCCAGCAGGCAGAGACGCTGCTCCAGCCCCGCTGCCCTAAGCCTCCGCCCCTCCTCGCTGCCCCGCCCACCCGCAGCAGACCTCAGGTGAGCCGGGTCTCCGGCCACTGTCCCCAGCTGTCCTCCAGACTGGGAGCGGCAGAGCCCTCTGGTCGACAAGATGCCCGCTACCCTGACCTTCTTCTTCTCGGGGGACGCGTGGTTGCTTTTGGTCTCTCCTTCTACTTCCCGGTCGCAGGTCAGAGGGTCGCGGCCCGACGCGGGCTTGACTCCATTCCCAGGGCCGTCCTCACTAAGCTTCCAGCCGCTCAGGTTGACGCCCGCGGCACACCACAGCTGGGGGAAGGCGGCCGTGAGGTCCGGGAGCCGGCCTCCCTCCGCCTCCCTGCCCTCCTGGACGTAGCTTCTAGGGACCTCTGCCGCCTGGCGCGCTCCGGGGCCTCACCTTCATGGTCGGGTCCTTCTCCACCAGCGGGCGGCAGTACACAGGGACCGGCACATTCTTCATGCGGGTGTCCTCCTGGCCCCCGTTGGGACTCAGCTGCAGGAACAGGGCAGCGCGCGCTGTGGGCGCCAGGCCTGGCGGGCTAACCGGCGTGCGGCTGCCGTCCGCTGCCGGGTCCTGCGGGCGCGCACTTGGGACCGCCCCGCCCCGCCCCAGCTTGTACTTGGGACCCCGCCACGCCCACACCCACGCCCACGCCACGCCCAGCACCTGTTTGTACCTGGGAGCCCGCCCCGCCCCAGCACCGCCTTGTACTTGGGGCCCCGCCCACGCCCGTACTTGGGACCCCGCCCACGTCCCGCCCCAGCACCTGCTTATACTTGGGACCCCGCCCCACCCCCCGCCCCAGCTTGTACTTGGGACCCCGCCCCGCTCCAGCACCTGCTTGTACTTGGCCGGCAGACTCCAGCCGCAGGCCTGCAGCCGCCCGTCGTCGTTGCGCACATGCTCGCGCACCTGGCGGTACTGCTCGCGCTTCTGCTCCCGCCGCGCGGACGACGTGCAGTCGCTGGCGGGGAAGGGCGGGTGGGTCACTGGGTTTGCGGGAGGGCGCCCGTGCCCCGGGGCTCCCCCTCCTGGACCTGCACCGCCTTCGCCGGGCGGGCATCTGACGGCTCGGAGGCCACTCCAGCTGCTGCCCCGGCCCAGGTGCCCCTGTCGCCGTCACCCCTCCTTCCCCTTCCCTTCTGGGGAAACCCCCACAGGCTTCTGACCTTGCACAGAATTCCCCATTCGACCCTGGACCCAGATTCTTAGCTTCAAAACTAAGGACAGCACAGAATTCCAAACACAAACTCATTCCCCAGGAAGAAGCTGAAAGCTGCAGGAAAAGTTCCTGTCAACTCCGAGAATCTCTGTGGAGCAAAGGGTGCAGGAGTGCCCGGTGGGGCCTAGGGTCGCTGCTGGCTGCCTGGTGCACCAGAGGAGCAAGGTCCAGCCCCTGGGGCCACGCAGAGGGAGTGGGGGTAGCACGGCCTCGGCCAGGGATGCCCAGTGCTCCCATGGGTGTGCACACCTTGGTGGGACCCAAGAGCAGCACGGTGGGGGCCGGAGGGGAGGGCCCGGGAGACTCACTCATCTGGGAAGAACTCCAGGGGCCGGCTGCCTGCCGAGCTCTGGCACATGCCATGGTTGCGGCGCTGGCTGAAGCCGGCTGTGGTGGGCGACTTGTAATGGATGTTCACAGAGGGGTACGACCGCTTGGCTGGCGGCGGGCTGGACGAGGAGCTGAAGAGGCGGCTGAAGCTGTCGGCGAGGCACAGGAGTGAGGGCAGGCCCGCGGGGCGGCCTCCCCAGCGGCCACTGCCCACACCCGCCCATAGCCCCCAACTCACAACTGCCAGATGGTGGACTTCTTCTTCTCCTGGACAGATGGGTGCTCGCGGGATGCTCTGCAGGGAAGGGGTGGGGGAGAGGCCCTGCTCAGCCCGGCCCAGCCTGACTCTGCCCTGCCCAGTCCAGCCAGCCCCCACACCATCACTGGGCCCTCCTGCCTCCCTTGCTTCAGACCCTCCCCCTGGACACAGGCATGGGAGCATCAGACGAGAGGGGCTCCTGGGTGTCACCCATCACTTCCTAGAGGGACCCTGCTGCACTGGCCCCGATGTGCCCCAGCCTCTTTCTAGCCCAGAGGGTGCATCCCCTGGCCAGACCAGGGCTGCACCAGAGGCCCGGCTCTGCCGGTCCCTGCAGACCCACCAGGGAGGACCTGGCAACCTCAGTCCTTCGGGAAGAGAGAGGGAGGGGGAGGTCAGCCTCAGTTCCCTCCCCAGGACCTCTGAGAGTGATCCCCGCCCCTGGCCGCAGGAGCCTGGAGGCCCACCTGATCATCTCAGTCCACCGCACGGCCTCCTGCAGCTCCATCAGCCGCTCCTTGTACTGGTTGCGCTCCATGAGCACGCGGGCCATCTCCACCCGTGTGAAGCGGCGGCGCTGCGCCATGGGGATCTTGTCCTGTGGGGAGAGTGCCGCTGCTCAGCAGTGAGGGACCGCCTCCGGGAGTGGGCGCACCCCAGGGCGGCTTCCCCCTAGGCTCAGGCAACGCAGTGGGGAGGGCTAGGCACGGGACAGCACCACCCATCCAGGAAGGGTCCCCTTCTTCCTGGAAGGCCACGTGGCACACTCCAGGGCCACTACACGGTGTGTTTTCCTGGAAGCTCCTGGCAACCCCAAACGCCCCCAAGGCTAACAGGTGGGACCGGCCCATGGGCACAGCAGTTTAAGAGAGGATCTGGGGGAGGTCTGGTGAGCAGGAACTGGGTCACTACGTCAGAACTCATTGCTTGAGGTACCGGTGGAGCTGCCGTCCCTGGCAGAACCGTGTCCTCATGCATCCCTACCTGGGGTCGCCCTCCCTGAGTGCCCCCACTACCAGCACTCGGAGTTCACAGGTGTGCTTGCAGCCTCAGGCTCCATACAAGGCAAAGGCACCGATCGGGCGCCTCCCTCACCAGGTGGGTGGGCCTTGGGGAGCGGCAGCTGCCCAGGACACCTGTGGCTCTGTCCCCTCCTAGAGTATCTGGAGGTGGGAGCTGCATAGGGTGGGCGAGGTGAGCAGCTAGTTTCCCCGGTGCTGGCTGTGGCACTGGTCTCCCGATAGGTGTGTCAAATGACCCCAGAGTAACAGGTGATGAGTGTGAGGTTAGCATCCAAATGTCACCCTGGGTTAGAGGCCCAGGACCGCCCTCTGTGTAAGGAGGGCAGCCAGGTCGCTGGGCCGGGCGAGCAGGGAGAGCCCGCCTGTGACTGCGGGCAGTCCACAGCCACTAGGACCTGGGTGAGGGGGCATCCCACAGAGAGGGGGGCTGGTTCTGACCTCATAGAGTCCGGGGGTGGGGTGCTGCTGCTGGGTGCAGGCTTCACACAGGAAGCATGAAGAGGGCCCAGAGACCAGAACTAAGGCATCCCACTGACCGCCTCAACGCGCCCCGCCGCACCCCCGACCCCACCCCACCCCACACGTTAATAGTGGAATATACCAATTCTGTACAGAGACAGCTGCTTACATCCTCCACCTCTTCTTTGGGCTCACGGTGGGCAGTGATGGCCTCCGACTTCACTCTGTGGCATGAGGATGGAAGCGGGGCGGGAGTGAGGCCCCCCGGGCATCGCTCAGGGTTGTGTCCTACCTCTCAGCTGCTCGCAGGGCTCTCCCCTCAAGCTCTAGGCCCTGAGCATTCCTGCCGGCGCCCTGGGCCCCCCACGCCCCTGCCCATGTGCTCCCCGAAGCCCGGCCAAGGAACAGGACCTCCAGTCAGCTGGCCTAGCGCTGGTGGGAAGGCAGTGCTGGCTGGGGGAGACCCGGCCCTGGGCCCCACAGACCCCGCACAGGCGCCCCCTGCCTCGGGCCCGCCCCTCACACCTCCTTTTCCTGTCTGCAGCCAGAGGCACCCGGTCGGAAAAGCGGGGTGACGATGGAGGAAAAGGCCACAGGGAGGTGCGGAGGGCTGAGGGGGACCCCAGCCATTCCTGGGCTGACTGAGGGCGAGGGCAGGGGGCAGCGCCGGGACCCACAGCGGCTAGAGGCCCTTTCCCCTCTCCCCTCCTCCTGAGTGAACGGCTGCGTGTGAGGGAGGGGGGAAGGGCCTGCTCAGCCGCTGGATGAGGGACACCCACGACGGAGCGCTGTCCCTCTTGCAGGACTCCGGCAGGCGAGAGGAAGGCGCGCCCTGGGCGGGGCCGGACCACGCCCTCAACGGGAGCCCCGCCCCGCGGGCCACGCCCACCTCCTCAGCTCCTCCTCCAGGTCTTTGATGCGATTCTCCAGTCTGAGCTTGGCCTGCCTGGCGGCCTCCAAGTCCCCCTTCAGCGCCTCCTGTTCCCCCGACAGCTGGTCCACCTTGGCGATGAGGTCGTTTTTCACCACGTTCAGAGCGTTTCTTTGAAAAGGCAGAGAAAGGCGAGCTGCTGTGTGCATTAAGGGATGGGCTCTCAGAGGGGGCTGCCCACCCTGGTGATCTGCGCACACATACCCTGGTCCCAAAAGTGAATGAGCGGTGACAGGTGGTGGTGAGAGGCTGTGACCCCCACCACCCTCTCCCCAGGACGGTGGGCTCAGTCCAGTGGGTCCAGGTTTTCCCTGCAGGCCACCCTGCATGCTGGGTGGCTGCAGCTGTTACAGGAGCCCCTGGCCCGTGGAGGGAGGGCATTCTTACTTGGTTTCTAGAAGCTGTGAGTTCTCCAGCAGCAGATTCCCCACTTCCTTGCCCATTCCTGAAACAAAGGGCACGGAGTTATCTCATGTGCCTGGTGAAGCCAGACCCTGATGCTCATCCCTGCCTCAGAGTAACAAACGTCCCCCTGGGGGAGGGGGCGCAGCCCATGCTAGAAGGACCCTACCCCCGGGGCCGACGCAAAGGGCCAAGGACCAGAGGCCTGAACTGCAGGAAGACAGCAGACTGGGCCACCCCGGTAGAGGCCTCTGCAGGTCACAGCACAGGCTCTGCACCAAGCAACACAGTCGGGGGAGGACCTGCTGCGTGTGGGCCCGTGGAGCCTCAGCCTGGCCTCTGCAGGGCACTGGGCAGGTCCCCAGGTCCTGGTGGACACCGCAGCCCTGGGCTGACTTCTGGAGCTCAGTGATGGGAATTGCGGCTGTCTACTGACATGAAGTCTGCACACCAGCAGGGCCTGGACAGCACCCCGAGGGCCTCTGCACACCCTCCTCCATCTCTGCCTACCCTGCCCAGCATCACCACCCTCCCCCAGCAGCACAGAGGCTGAAGTTGTGATGGGACAGGGCCCAGGGGGCGGGATGGCCCATGGCCTCAGTGGGCTGGGAGCAGACCTGGGGGACCCGGCCCGAGGGTGGGACCCGCAGGGGGCAGAGGCAGGAGTGAGGAGGGCAGCACTCCCAGGGCGGGTGTCTGGTGGGGGCCCAGGAGGCCACAAAGCCCCAGAGCACAGCTCATCCTTTAGGAGAGCCTCCGGCGCAGCTTCCCCCACAGCCTAACGTGGCCGCGGCACGAGGTGACCCCACACAGGGTGCCCAGCCTGGGTCCCCTGCTGTGTCCATTCCAAACTCCATGTCCCCAGCAGGGCCTGCCTGCCCTTCAGGTGGGACACAGCTGGCCCCGGGCACAGGCCTTCTGAACTAACGGGGCTCAGAGATGCTGAGGCCCCGCAATCCACTGAGGGCCTGCTCCTAGGGCATCAGGTGCCCACTTGCCACACCTGCTGGGGGCCCCACACCCCCGCCCAGAAGCCACGGCCCTGCTGCCCCCACGCGCCCCCCATCAGGCTCAACAAAGCAAATGGCTTGGGAAGCATGAGGGGGTGTCGGGGAGGCAGAGGAAGCCAGAAGTGGGGAAACACGTACTGAACCGGGGCCTCGGCCTTACCAAAAAAATCATCGCGCACTATGAGCGCCGTCCCAGTCCCACGGGAGACGGGCGACCAGGGCGGGAGGAGAGGGAGAGAAGAGAAGCGCGTTAAGCCCGTGTGATGAGCAGGCGGGGGGACGTCAGGGCTACTGCTCGTCGGGTTAGGGGTGCATGCGGGAGCAGGATGGTGGGGCAGAAAGGTCACCCTTGGGCAACACAGAGGCCCGCCAGGCCAAGAGTGCCGAGGGATGAGGGGAGGCTCAGGGCAACACAGCAGACATCTGACAGTAAACTCCTTGGAGGGGGTGGGGGTTAAGGACGGGGTCTCTGCAAATGAGGGGGAGCTGTGCCCAGGCCCTGGTGCCTTTGAGTGGGGGTGTGGGGGATGACCATCTGTGGGTGGTCAGGGCCCCAGAGCCTCTGCTGAGAGCAGTCAGGCATGGCCGTGGCTCACATGCCCCAGGCAGAGGACCCCTGACTTCCAGGGTGCACCCAACAGAGGGGAGGCACCCCAGAATGGGGCCTGCATGCGGTGTCCAGTTAACCATCGGCCCTGCAGAAGCTGAAGAGACGGCCTTGGAGGAGAGGCCGGGTCCAGGGCACGGCAGCTCCCCCTCACTTGTCGAGGTCCCAGTCTGCGGGCCAGTGGAGCAAACCAAAACAAGCTTCGGAGCAGCAGTGGGCTGGTAGCAGAAGCACATGTGCCTTGGTGGCTGGGGCCAGGGTCAGGTGGGGACGGGCTGCAGCTGGGGTGTCCCAGGGTGCCACCCCTCCACCAGGACGCCACCGTGGGGAAGAGGGGGCCGCAAGCAGACAGCAGAGATACACACCTGAGAACTCCCCTGCAGCCATGTCCAGCGAGGCATGGAGAGACCGGGGGAGGAAGCGACAAAGGTCAATTGGTGACTGAAACCAGCAGAATCAAGAGACTCTTGTTAAAGAAAAAGCAGCAATGACCAGCCATTTCTGTGTTGAAGAGCCCGAAAGAGTACAAGCGGACATCCCCAGGCCTGTGGGGGCCAACTACCACCCAAGGCAGGGCCCCCATGGGAAAGGGGAGGCCAGGACAGCATGGCTGTCAGTCCCCGGGCCTGGGGCAGGCATGGCCCTCTCTGCTCCCCCCTGCCATCAGGAGGGCCACCTCCCCCTGCTCCCGTGTGAGGCCAGCCTGTGTGGGGGGTGTGGGGGGCATGGAGGGTGCTGGGCATCCAGCCCCACAAGCGCCCCCAGAGTGGGTGAGCTGCCGACACGGACCTGGCCTTGGGGGTGGGGGACCTGGCCTTGGGGGTGGGGGGCCTGGCCAGCCCAGTCTAGGCGAAGGGCAAGACCTCAGGTCAAGGACGGGCAAAAGACCAGGGCCCTCTCCTTCGCCAGGAGGAAATCGCTGAGTCAGGATGGGATGGGGTGGCCCTTCTTTGTGCCAAACTGCTCCCCACTACCCAGCTGAAGACCTGATGAAATGATACTCTTCCGTTTGGCTCACTTCACACAGAAAGAAATGGTACAGTCATTTGACAGAAGTGACAAGTGATAAACTCTGCTGGAGGCACTGTCATCGCTGCCTCCAGAACCTGGTGTTCTCCTCAGGACTCTTTCTACAAAGACACCACTTTTTAAAAAACAAAATCTCGACCACACTCCCCATCGTCTTGGGCAACTTGCTCCAACCATCACCTTGAAAGCATCCAGGTGGAGATGCCCCACTGTTTGCTGCAGCTCCTCCGATAGGCGTTTCGAGCCGGGGCTATGCAGGCACCACGGCACGCGCACGGGCTCCTGTGGGCACACTTGGCCCTATCGGAGGAACAGTGGTCTCGCTCCTGCAGGCCCAGCTGGCCTCCACATCAGCCGTCACCTCCCACCAGCAGCACAGACAGTACCCGCTTCATTTTCATCAATCGTTTGAGGAGAGAGTTATCTCTATACTCTCATGGTCCATTTCCATGTTACTCCTGAAGTTGAGCAGCTTTTCAGGTTTGTGGGTCCTGTGAATGTCCTACTTTATCCTCTACTCATTTCCTGCTGTATGTCACATTTTTTAATGTTAATGATGGAGATCATATGTATATAGGCTTTGGCCATGAAGAGAGGCGCAGATTATGAAAATACTCTCTGATACCCTCTTCCAGTTCTATTATCCTTGTACTTTTACGTTTCGATCTTTATCCACCTAGAAATTAGTTGTGTGCATGGTGTGAGGTTAGATTAGACTTCATTTTTTCCAAGTGGCTATTCAACGAGTCCGGTACATATGCTGAGTCAACCACAATCGGGCACCTTCTGGCATCGGTGATGGGGACCGGGCTTCCCGTCGCTGACACATCCTCCAGCTGAGCCGGACTCTGGGCATAAGAGCAGAGCCCCAGCTCACCCGTCCAGCTCATCCCTGGACACAGGGCCGGCCCGCGCTCCGGGGCTCCGTCCATGCGTCCCAAGAGCTCTCCACCCTCCTCAGCTCCTCAGGGCTGCCTGCCCTGCCGGTGCCCCTCATACTGAAGCCTCCAGAAAGGCCCCCAAAGGCCTGTCGCCCCCAGGAGCGGGGTCTCGTTCCAGCAGAGCTGAGTGGCGCCTGAGAGGCCTTCCGCCCGACAAAGTGCCGGGACTCAGGGTCCCACCCCAGCTGAGAAGACAGCTCTCCCTGCAGCCCCTCAGAGCAGACTCATCGGAGGTGCTGGTTAGGACCTCCCGCGGGAAGATCAGGTCAGACACTCCCGCTCCAGGCAACCAGCCCCAGGAGCCCTGTGTGCATCACACTGGGAGCCGGTGACCCACCTTCACCTACTGCTTCGGTCCTGTGGTTCCAGGTAGCACTCACTGGTGTGCGGTTTACAGGGAGTGATATCCAGGGCGGTGCCGCCTGAACCACAGGAGGCGGCCAAGCGCCACAGCATCTGCCAGCCCCCGGGGCGCCGAGGTGGGAGGGCAGGGACGGCCACACGGCGAGAGTGGACCCACCGTGGGCGCGGCAGCTGTGGGCGCGGCGTGGGGGGCAGCTCTGCAGCTGTGGGCGTGGCAGGGAGGGGCAGCTCTGCAGCCTGGGGCTATGGGGCAGGAAACCTGGCCAGTGCGAGGGATCGAACCGGACAGGCCACCTAGTGCCGCCAGGTAGCAAGAAGGCCTGTGAGCTCCAGCGATCTCTAAGAACCAGGGGAGGCACCACAAGTGAGGCAGAAGCCTCAGTCCCGACAGACAAAAGGGAGACGACCCAAATGCCCCTCGTTGGCTGAACGCAGACATGAAGTGTGGTCTGTCCACACACTGGAACGCTATTCAGCGGCAAAAAAGGAATGAGATCCTGACACGCTCCTACATGGATGAGGCTCAAAGGCATTCTGCTAAATGAAGGCGGCCAGATGAACTGACATGAAATGCCCAGGAAGGCACGTCTGCAGACAGGAAGTAGAATAGTGACGCAGGGTCGGGGGATGTGGCGGGGACCGCTGCTTGTTTTGGGGGGGCAGGAAAACTGTTTAGAACTCACATGGTGAGGAGTGCACAGATCCGAACTCATGCTGAAGATGGGTAGATCGTGTGGCGTGGAAATCCCACCTCCATAAAGCTGTTGGTCGGGGCAGGGCCGCTGCCTGGGCTGGGTGTGAGGTCAAGTCCTGGCTCTGCCTACCTCACCCTTGTGACCCTGGTTTCCTCATCTGGGACATGGGCCACCAGCAGCGTGAGGGGTCGACGGCGGCCGTGCAGAGTGTGCTGGCGTCCCTCTTCTCGTAAGGACCGTGATGAGTGCAGGAATCTTGCCACATTACACAAACGGGGAAAGGCATGAGGTGCGGGGCCCAGCGTCATCCCTGAGACCTCCGCCATCAGTATGGCCAGGAGCGGGCCTCTGCCCCCGACAGGGAAGCGCACGGTGTCCTGTGCCTGCACAGTTCCCGAGCACGCCGGGCCCTGCTCTGAAAGCTCTGCCATGCACGAGGCTGCCCAGCCCCTCGCAGCCTCCCCGGCGGGAGGGCGCTCCCTCCAGTGACCGCAGCTGGATCCAGGTGCATCCTCACAGGCATGCCGGCCTGCTGCCCGTCCCCACTAGTCCACAGCTGTCCTGGGGGGCCCACGTCTAGAAACCTCTCCTGAAGACATCACTGGACACTCGGGCAAAGACCTAAGCCTGCAAGTGGCTATGAGAGCGGAAGTTGAACAGTGCAATTTAGAACAAAGGTGGGACCCATCAGGTCATTTGCAGTCACGTGAAGGTAAGGTAAGATGTGCGGAGGAGTCTCAGCCGTTCAGGGGAACGTCACGATCAGCCACAGAGAACCGGGCGGACATAAGTGGCCGCCCCGCACCCTGGGTGCACGTGCTGGTGAGGCGATCTCTCATCACGACATGGCGGGGGCGGGGGCCTGCTTTGGTGTTTACTGTCTTCTCGGCAGGGTGGGATAATTATTTAACATGACTACCAGCATATACCCTTTTTCCAAAAATGAGAAAAATGCCTAAAAATTAAACTTATATGATAGTAGCTGAAATATGTAAAAAAAGAGTAGAAGGATGTCAAAATATTCAAGGTGATTGTTCCTAATTAGTAGATTTTTTTGAATACTAATAGTTTTGTACATTTAAAAATATGTATTTTTATATAATGCTTACAAGAAAGATTCCATTAAATATACTTATTGCCCAGAGCGAGCAGCCTTGTCTTATCCCTAATCTTAGAGAAGACGCTTTCAGCCTTCCTGCAGAGTGTGAACGTACTCCCCAGTCCTGCAACATGTGCCTGACAACTGAGACGGTGGTGAGTTTCACGTGCTGTGTTTCACCACACCCCGATACACACAACTGTGCATCCACAGCTGGGCACGAGCCGTGCTGCTGCTGAACCCCTGGTGCCCACCCCAAGTAAGAGTCGACTCCTGGGAACCACTAGACAAGAGAAGGCGGGGCTGTGCTGGCTGAAAACGCCAGCCAGGCCCCCTTCATCTGCAGGTCAGGCCCAGTGGTGTGAGCAACTGGCAGGCCGGCCGGGCGGTGCTGTCCACGCGGGGACCTGCTGTGGAGATGCCCCGAGCGCCCGTGGGCGTGTCTGTTGGGGGAGAGACAGCAGCAGCAGGACTGACAACAAAAACTCCGGGATGCTGGACAGCCCTGCCTGCTCGGGCAGCAGCTGGTCAAACACCATCACACGTCGGAAGGCAGGGCTCCCAGATGCCGCTGGAGGATTGCTACCAGCCCTTTGGCCACACGTCCAGAGGGAGCAGCCGTGCCATCTCCAGCTGCTGCCCCAGCCCTAGGAGAAATGAGAGGACCTTCCCCACCCCCGGGGACCACGGCCCCGACGCCTGCCTCGCTGGCTCGGAGTGGGATGGACGCTTCAGGGATGAGGCCGCCTCTCCAGGCTCCGCTCTGGACCCAGGCCGGGTCTGGGGGTGGGACAGAACCTGGGAGACTGCGGGACTTGCCACTACTGCCCTGAGGGCCCCAGCCTGGCCTCTGGGCTACACGGGCTCTCTCTGCACCATCTCAGACCCGTGGAGGGTGCTGACTGCCTGGCACATTCCTTGAGAACTGGAAAAGCTGACAACGGCCACCCTCTCAGAACATCTCCTGAAGGTGGGAGGGGTTCGGCGCAGGGGCCACTGAGGACTCCCAGGGACAGGACTGTTCTTGAGGTGACGGTGTCGTCTGCAATTAGTGGCTCAACTCCGTGAGCACCGCAAACCCCGCAGGGCGGCACACTCCACATTTACAGCTGGTACAAAGAACTTCCTGGCTCACAGAGACTCCGCCCTCATCACAAACAAGAGCACCCACAGCAGGCCCGAGGACAGCTGTGTTACCTAGCAGGTCGGCCCCTTCATCCACGTCTCCGATGACCTCGGAGCCTGCCGTCGACAGCTCGTGATACAGGGAGTCGGTGTTGATGCCGAAAGCCTTGTTCACGATTCCCTGGGTCGGGCTGCGAGGACACGCGGTGATGGAGGCCAGTGAGCGGGCAGCACCGCCGGGCCGGGCGTGGGGACGCCCCTGCGGGGCCGTGATGCTGGCACCGCCGGCACAGGGGCGGGAGTGGCAGGTGCTGGGTCAGCGCCCTAGGCGTTCCTCCCCCACCGAGGGGCTGCGGGCACCTCCCTCGGGGGCACCAACCCCCGGCACGGGCTCTGGGCCCAGCGAGCACCTGCTGCCTGTGCGGTCCAGGCGGGGCTCCCGGCCCATGTCCAGCTCTGGGGTGGAGTCGATGATGTCCTGGACATCGGACCACTCATCACTGCTGCCCATGCCTGGTGGACACAGTGGAGCCTGGGTTGGGGGTGGCCGGGGGCTCCTGGCACCCCCTGTGGCTGTCCTGGAGCCCCCTTCTCCGGAGACCCCAGGCCAGGCCAGCGTGGGCGGAAGGGTCAGGGGAGGGTTCTTCTGGGGGGCCGGGGGCCGGGCGCGGTACCTATGCTGACGTTGCGCATCTCCTGTGTGACCTGCACTTCCATGTTGCGGCTGTTGCGCTTCTCCCGTGCCCGCTTGCTGTTCCTGGAGCTGCCGTGGTCGCCCAGCGGCTGCGGGCCCTCGCTGAGGGGCGTGACCGCGGCCGAGGGCACAGAGGACGTGGGCGTGTTGGACTTGGTCCCCGTGGTGCTGGGCGTGGCCGCCGCCGAGGACTGGCCCGACTCGGACATCTCGTCCTGCGGACACTGGGGCCGAACACAGGGAGAGGGAGCTTGAGGCGCGGGCCTGGCCCGGGAGGCCGGGTGGGTGGGCATCGCCCCCTGCCTCAAGGCCCCTCACTTGGGGTCTTTGCCACTCAGCTGCAGTAACACAGCACTTGGGGCCGGAGTGAACAGGACCGGGGGACACTTCTCTCCCTCCGGGCTGATTCCTCCCGTCACTCGGCTCGTCCGGCTGCAGCCTCTGGCTCTCCAGGGGAAGCTACAGCTTATTTAAAAGGCTTCCCCAGGCCTGACACGAAGTTATGTGGACAGGGCCGGTGACCCCTTGCAGCCAGAGGGTAGACAGAGCTAAGCCACAGCCCGGGGCAGGGCAGAGGCCCCCCAGCTGGGGAGGGGGCTGCGGAGGCCAGCGTGCCTTCTGACAAAGTTACCGCTCCTCTGCGAGGCCCTCGAGGGCAGACCCCTCTTGCCCTGGCCACAGTCAGGGGCTGTGACGCCCCGATCCTGCCAGCGATGGCCCCTCCCCAACAAAGAGACATCAGGGGATGGGCTTCACTTAACCTCCACGGCCCAGCTGAATCAAAGTTTGCCTTCGACACCTGCGCAAATGCAAACAAGTTGAAATCCAACTTCCACAGAATGGGATGTCCCCCAAATATTTCAGGAGTACAAAAAGATCAGAGTAGTAAAAACTGCCATCGACTGTCAACCTTAAGGATCTCCCTGGAGACAGAACACGCTGTCTGAATACTGTGCTCCCCTCCATCCGTCTTTCCTGGGGAACCTCAATAGCAGTGGCCCCTGATCTGTGAACTGAGCCCGGGACCCCACAGTCTCTCGCCTGTGCAGAGAAGGGGCACAGTCTCAGGGCGGGGGACAGCCACAGAGGCCCCTCCAGGCACACGTTCCCCCTGGTGCTCCCAGAGGACCTGATGGTGGGCGTGCGGCCTTCTCCGTGAAGCTGGAGGGAAGCTGGGACTCCCGCCTGTAACTAGGCAGGGCTGACTGGGCTCCTGGGGCTGCCTCCAGGTGACCGGGGGTCAGAGCTGGTTGTTTGGGAACTTCTGAGATCTGCCTTGCCCCGAGCAGCCTGGTCACCCTGGGTGCCACCCCTCCTGGGCTGAGACGCCCCCACCAGGAGCCGCACATCTGTGTCACCGCTAGGAGGGGCTTCCATCCCGGCAGCTATGTCCCCAGGGGACACCTGGTGGTGTCTGGAGACACTTGTGGTGGCCAGAGCCAGAGCTAGGGGTGGATGGAGGTAGGGTGCCCACCACACCCCACAGGGCACAGGACGGCCCCCCAGCCGATCACACTTGGCTGCGTTGCCAATGGGCCGCGGTGAGAGGTCGCCTGCAAACACTTTTGATTTGGGTTTGGGCTCTGCAGGCTAGGGCCAATTTGTAAAGGACAAACCCCTTCCTCCTCACAGCACTGTGCATGTTGCAGGCCTCTGTGATGGCCCCTTGTGCACTGTATGCCTAAGCGACAGAGGCACCCGGGTGACCCATGGGGAGGGTTCCTGCTGGTGCCCGAGGAGTGCAGTGCGTGAGGCTGCTGCCCCGGGATTTCACAAGGACGGGGCACCATGTGAGCCCACGCCACATGGAAGCGCACATTTCCGGACCACCTGACTCAACGGCCATGCGCCCTGCCTGTCCGTGACTTGAATGCTTTTGCTCCCTGGGCCTCCTGACCCTGGCTATCACTGTGGGGCGAGGTGGCATCACCAGGCCTCTCTGGCTCCCTGAGCTGTCTGTCGCCCTACAACAGGCCACCACTTACCCACAGGACACTCCCCCTGGCCACCACTTACCTAAAGAAACCTGCCAACCTCTAACACCAACGTGCAGCAGTGGCCTCCAAATGCAAAGAACCCACATCCCAGCGGCCGTGCCTCCCATGAGGAGCCACAACTGTTTGGTTAAAACACTGAAAGTACAGTACATAAAAACAAAAAACAAAACAAAACAACAAAGCAAATTAAAAAATTAGGAAAACCTGAAAACCTACAGCATAAAATAAAAAGAACTTAAAAGTAATTGTTAAAAGAAATCAAACAAAACACACCTATGAACTAAAACATAAAAGACTATGGTTTATTAAGAGAGGACGATTTCAGACAACGCAGGAGGAGAGACGTGGTAAGGACACGAGGGGCCGTTGGGAGGCCCTCCCACCCCACAGCTCTGAGGCTCACGTGCCCAGCAGGAGCCCCGGGGAGCCCTTCTGCCCAGACCCCACTTGCCGGCGGGACCCTCAGTAACTGAAGGGTGTAAGGCTCACTCTGCAGAACAAACGCAGAGAGAGTGGGGTCATTTTCCAACGCATCTGGTAGCTGGCAGCCTCCTGCAGCCCGGCCGGGTGCTGCAAGGCCGGGGGAAGCTACAGGAAGGCCTTGGGCCCGGGTCCGCCCCCCGACCTGGAGGCCAAGTGCTCTGCCGCCCACGGGCACCCTCTGACGGCCTGTGCAGGGCATCACCAGACACAGGGCGGCCTCGTCTCCCCCAAGGTGGCCTCCTCACCGGCAGGGGGGCCGCGGCCTGCTTTCTCCAGGCTGATGCAGCCCATAGACCAAGATGGGCAGTGCCAGGGGACCCCTGCACAAGTGCCTGCCCTTGGCCTTGCGGGACCCCAGTGCTGGGGGTGGGGGGCGCTCAGCAAGCTGGGCAGCCCGGATGTCCACCTTCTCAAGCTTGGGTCCGGAGGTCATTGGCACAGGCAGGCCAGGGAGAACAGCCCAGAGAAGAGAAGCTGCCCCCGGCCTCTGGCCATCTCCTGGTTGGAGCGCAAACCTCGGACGCCAGGACCACACGCGGGGAGAAGCCTGGTCTGGGGTGTGGTGAGGGATGGTCACTGTGCTCAGCCCTGCCCTGGGTTCGCCCCAGCGCAGGCAGCTTCCCGTGGCGGCCGGGACCCGTGCGGACCACAACCCCCTGGACACAGTGGGGCGACGCGGGGCCCGCACCCCGCGGCTCGGCTACGGAACCTGGTAGCTAGAGCTGAGCTGCAGCTGGCCGAGGTCACTCAGGCGCCAGTGGTCCCCCGCGGGCGCGGGCTTGCCCCCCATCTGCGCACGTACCGAGCCGTCGGCCAGGGGGAAGACGCTCAGGGACGTGGGGCGCTCCTTCCTGCTGAAAGGCAGAGAGAGGACAGGGAGGGGTTAGAGGGGGGGCTCCCGGGGCAGGGCTGCAAGCCCCTCCTGGACGTGCGGGTGTCCAGGGTTCAGCCAGGGCTGCTCCCCGCGCCGCCCCCGCCCAGGGCTGCGTGGGCTGTGACCGTCCGGGCCGGGTGTCTGAGACCCCCGACCCCACCGACTGCGGCCCGGCAGACGAGCCTGCTCACTCGCCCAGGGCACCTCCACTCCACAGTGGTCCCTCGTTCCAGCCCCCTGCCGCAGTGTTGCCACCCCTTCCTTTGTGTCCACTGCAAACAGAAGCCTGTGCGGCAGGGCCTACGGCGGCCCTGTGGCTTCACCAGCGGCACGCCTGGCTTCTCCTCGGCCCAGCTTCTGCCTCCAAGGGTCAGGAGGGGTCAACCTTTCTCCCCTGCTGCGTGTCCCGTCACTGCTTTCAGGAGCCCTGGGTCTGGAGTAGAGAGCTCGCGCTCTGCTTTTTTCTCACTCCAAGTGGTTCTTCCTTTTAAAGCTCCGGAAGCAAACTGGGAATGTCCAGTAAGCTGGGTGGAAGCTCAGAGCCACCTGCCGTGGCCGCTCAGTCCCTGGAAGATGCTCCGGGCCGTTAGTGGTGAGGGCACAGAGCCAGGTCCAGGGTGGTGCGGAGTCCACACTGCTCAGAGCCCAGTCAGACCAGGTGTCTGGACCTGTCACACAGGCGCTGAGGTAGGGGTGGCGAGGCTGCCTCTGGGGTCCCCAGGGGCTGGTTCAGAGGCTGGGCTGTCTGGAGGGAGGTGGGGGCTTCTTCATGGCACCTGGTGGTGCAAGTGGTGGACAGGCAGGCGGAGCGGCCAGGGGCACGAGTCCAGGCAGGAGGTCTCTGCCGGGGTCCCCCACGGCTCCGGGGCTGGCACGGCTGGTGTCCCCGTTTCCTGCCTGTCTGTCCTGCTCAGGAGGATGCTGCCCTGCAGGGGCCCGGCTGTGCCTTCTGGGGCTCTTCTGTGGGGGACAGAGCCAGAGGAGGCCTGGGGGGCCGGACGTCTCCCGCAGACGATCCCCAGTGCCTCCTCCGTCGGCCCTCATCCCCCGAGACAGACGGCACCTTCTACAAGGCTCGGCCATTGCTTAGAAGGAGCTCAGGCAGCAAGCTAGGCAGGCTGGGTCCGCGGATCCATCACAACGCTCTCCAGGGCTGTTTGCTGGCCGCAGGCCCTGGCCCCGGGTGTCCAGGGAGGCAGCACGGCCTGCAGGCTCCTCCCTGGGGCTCCCAGCCCCTGCTCGCTGCTGCTCCTCCACGGGGCTCCTGTGTGGGGGCCTCCTCTCCTCGGGCCCAGCTCTGACGGGGGGCTGCACACCAGGGTCCTTCGGGCCAGGCTGTGAGCAGGTGCCAGGGGGCAATGTGACGGTAGGGGCAGCAGGGGGCCACCTGCCTCCCAGGTCGCACTCTTCTCTGTCACCTGCCTCCACGGCTCTGTGCACGCACAGACATGGCCAGACTCAGCTCCCTGGTGGAAATCCTCACGAGAGATGAGTTCCGCGTGCTCTCCCCTCCGAGCTTCGGGAGTGTTCACTGGGGATTGCTGTTGGCTGGCCAGTCAGAGCCCTGTCCAATGCTTGGCCACCACGTCCTCCTGTTTCAGCCCCATAGCTCCCCTGGGGGATGCCGATTTTCGTCCATCCCCAAGGCTCCAGCCTGAGAGGGCCACGTGGCTCACAGGCGGCATGCCCCTGGCTCTGGGCCAAGCGACCGCACTGGGCTGCCTGACGCCGCGCGCAGGGTCTCCACCAGCACCCGCCGCCTCCTGGGGTGTGGACGTGAGGTCCGGCTGCGCCGGTGGGGCCTGCATCACTCCCTTCTCTGGGACCCACCCGCCCTCCTCAGCTGCAGGCCCTGTACACGTGCGTTCGGAGCCTCCGATTGACGCGCGACCCCGGCGGCCGTCCAGGCTCCCCCAACCCGAGGCCTGGGGATGGCCGCAGGCTTTACCTTCTCCTCCAAGACTGGCGAGGACTGCGGGGTGGCGACACACAGGTGGGATGGCAGACGGCGGGGATGGCAGACGGCGGGGATGGCACGCAGTGGGGGCGGCACACAGTGGGGGCGGCACGGGGCAGGGGTTGGGGCGAGACAAGAAGACAACATTAGAGGGTGACGTCGGGGCTGGGGGCACGTGTGGGCACACGGAGAGGAATGGGCCCCACGGGGACAGACAGACATGGGACGTGCAGACGCCTGCTCCGGATGGACATAGGACACACAGACACACACCCTCTTGGCTTGGACGGCAGGCGGCGCCCACTCAGACAGGGTTGGGGTCGAGCGTCCTCCCCAGACGCCCCAGCACACGCGGTCACACCCGCCACGTTAGCGGCTCAAACACGCTCATCAGTTTTATTCTAGACACACAGGTTCATGACACCAGGCCAGGGGTGGCGGAAAATGGCTGATGCTCAGGGGCCAGCGCTAAGGAGGAGGCCCTCCTGGGGGGGCCCCAAGGGATCCAGAGTTGCAGAAGGATGGGGTGTACCCCACAGAAAAGCAGGCCTCCTCTCAAACTGCCGTACGGGCCCCAGGGGGACGGTGCTCCCTCTCCTCTCATCAGGGCATCGTTTGGACACGGGGCCACATCTGTTCACCTCTAGTCCGCCAGGGGCTGTCAGACACACACGGGGCCCCGGAACTTCTCAATCACAGCCCAGGTCCCAGCAGGGCTGCAGGGCAGCAGAGCCCGGTTCCAAACGCTGCCGAAGGCACGAGCAAGCAAGGCCGTGCCCTGCAGTGAAGGCGACGCCAAAGGCGGCCAGCCAGCTGGCAGGGCGACGGGCGCGGCCCAGGCACGGCCCTGCCCTCAGCTTCCCACAGAAGCACTGCTCTGGCCATCCCCCCCAACACACACAGGAAGGCGCCTCTTCACCTCCAGGACACAGGGGGCATGGGCAACAGCCCCCACGCCGCTTTCTGCAGGCAGGGGTCTCCTCCCTGGGGGTCTGCTTGGGAGGGATCTTAGCAGAGCCCGAGAGCCTGGAGAGGGCGATGGTGAGGCCACACCCAGGAGGACGGGACAGGGGCCCCAGAACTACAGAGGGAGCCCCCGACTCGAGGCTGGCACTTGGCGCGGTTGCTTGGGAAGTCCCTCCATGACTCGTGGCAGGCGTGAGGCATCTGTGGTGTTGGGCAGCAGCAGCCTGGAGATGGACATTGCCCACCTTCAGACAAACCTGATCCAGAAGCAACATCTGCAGAGGCTGTGTATCTGAACAAACTCTGGTACGTATTCCCTCGCTGAACTCACAGAGCTGGGGTCACATAATGACCCCTGACACCCTCTCCTGGGGCACTCGCATTTCTAGAAAGGAAACATCCTCAGCAGCTGGAGCCCCTCTCCCCACCGGAAGCAGCGAGACCATCTGAACACAGGCTGGGGGTCCTGGCGCCCATCCTTGCCAGGCTCTGCCAGGCCTTGCGGACACATTGCACTTTTGTTTCGAATCCAAGGACTCAGCAGCTGTGCCCACCACACCGGGTGAGGGGCTGACAGGCCCAGCATGGATGGGCTTGAAGTTTCTTGATTGCAGACATCACGCACCAAGGAGGCGGGCGCTGAGAAACGGAGCCTTTACAGGACAGACCAGGGGCTTTAGGTGTTCACGGAGGGAACAAAGGGCCACAGCTGCAGAGGCAGCTCCATTGGGGGCAGGGCGCGCTGGGGCCCAGCCTGAGGCCCCTCCTCCTTCCTGCAGCCTGAGAGCCGTGGCCCCGCACAAGTCAGGCCTGGGAGACCTCTGACCGCGCGCTCCCTGGGTACGGGGGTGTGCTTCTGTCCTGACTGAAGATGGACCAGGAGCCTGGCCTCTTCAGGCGTCTCCGCTCCCCGAATGAAATTGGTGCGCGGTGCATAGCTGTGTCTGCTGGTCCCCAAGGTGAGGGGCCTCCCCACTCCTACAGCCATCTCTCGCAATGCGAGCTGGTTGTGGCCGAAGAAGTCAGCGCAAACGCGCACACACGCATCTCACAGGGAGTCTTCATCCCCCACCCATCCTGGTGGATCCTGTTTCCTTTATTTCACAAAAGAGAAGACGAGGTGCAGAAGCACGTGGTGAACTTTAACACATCGCAGAGGACGAGGCCAGGGCTGGGCACCTCCTGTTCCTGCTGACCGGCCCCAGGCCGGGCGTCTCCGCTGGGGGCGGAGCGGCACCTGGTGCCACCCGGCTGGCGCCCTGCGCGTCGGCTGACTCACACTCTCACGCTCTGCGCACACCTGCAGTGGCTGCCGAGTGCTCTGAGCGCTGGTTTTGAGGCTACAAGTAGATTTTCCCGAGTAGGCGAACTCAGCAACGCAGAATCGGAAAGTGTCAGGGTCAACCGCGCGGTCCCCCTGGGCCCTCGTGGCAGCCCGCAGCCCCGTGCGCCGCCGGCGCCTCCTCAGCACACAGCCCCGCTCAGGCCCCGCTCCGACCGGACGCTCCCTGGGCCTGGGGTCAGGGCTCTGGGGCGCAGCTGGCTCCTACCTCCGCCCTGGCAGGCTGCCCTCCGTCTGGCCGCTCCCCCCGACCTGCTGCATCTTGGACCTCTCGATGTGCTCCACGTAGGTCTGGATCATCTGTGGGGACGACACGTCCGCGTGAGCGCTGCCCGCCCGCCCCGCTGCTGCTCTCAGGGCTCCGACAGAGAGCAGGCAGGGTGCAGGGGCCAGGCGTCAGCCGCGTGGGGCCCACGGCCCGCCGGTTCCGCAGGGGCGCCCCGGGAAGACAGAAGGCGGCCAGGCCGGGCACCCACCTCCGTGTGCCGCTGGTGCAGCGCGTTGTACTCCTTCTTCATCTCCGACTCCCGCTCCTCTAGCCGGGAAACTGGAAGACACAAGCCACCCGCCTCTCCAGGTCACAGCCTGCTCCAGGCTGGCCTGCCGGGGGCAGAGGGCTGCAGACAAACGCATGTCCGGTGCCCACCCTGGGGACACGAGCAGGTGGGCCCTGAGCACCCTCGATCCTGCTGCGAGAGGGCCAGCGGGGGAGACTCGCACGGGCCTCAGTCAGCAGGCAGCTCCCAGGTACGGGTGGAACCCACGGGCATGCTGAGCTGTGGCAAGTGTGGACAGGAAGTGAGCGGGTGATTCGTGGACAGAGGCTGAATTCGGAAGTAAGCAGCCTCTGACACACGTTCAAGAGAAGAAAGTCCAAAACACAGGGTGGAACATACCGTATCCCTCACTTGGACCCGGGGCTGGAGAGACGGGGCCACGACCACACCACCTCTGGGCTGCGGCACTGGGATAGCCCCCTGCACGCTCTGGGAGTGCCCGGACCGCCTAGAGGGCCACCCCAGGGCCACCGGGCCACAGACACCCTGTGCCCCTGGGCCTTCATTCCAGCCGCAGCCTAGCGGAACTCTGTGCAGAGCACGGGATGGGGCACCCTTTCCCTGGTCCTGACCCCTGGCGCTGACCAAATGGAAAATTCAGAGTGTGGTGTGGAACTTAGATGTGTCTTCCTTCTAAGAAAAGATGTCCTGTGCGCTCAGTCATGTCTAACTCTTTGCAACCCCATGGACTGTAGCCCACCTGGCTCCTCTGTCCAGGGAGCTCTCCAGGCAAGAGTACTGGAGTGGGTTGTCATTTCCTTCTCTGAGAAAAGGTGAAAAGGTTTCATATGTGAAAGTATTCTAAGCAAAGGGAGTGTGAAGGATTCTGTCGAGTTACAGAAAGGGTGGATCTATGCCAAACTGAAACGGGACCCTGCTTGTTCCCGCCCTGCAAAGATGTGTGTGTGTGTCTGTCTGTGTCTGTGTGTTTGACTCTACATGTCTATGTGTCTGTGTCTATGTGTCTGTGTGTGTCTGTGTGTGTGTGTCTGCATGTCTGTCTGTGTGTCTGTGACTATGTGTCTGTCTGTATCTGTGTCTGTGTGTGTCTATGTGTGTGTCTGTGCATCTATGTGTCTATGTGTGTGTGTCTCTGTGTGTGTGTCTTCACGTGTGTGTATGTCTGTGTATGTCTGTGTGTGTGTCTGTGTCTCTGTGTGTGTGTCTGCACATGTGTGTATGTCTGTGTCTGTGTGTGTGTGTGTCTGTCTGCATGTGTGTGTGTGTATGTCTGTGTGTGTGTGCATTGCCATGGCCACCGGTCACCTTCACGCTCACCTACAGCACCTGTGGGATACTGGCTTCAGCAAATGGCCTTCATGTCTTGGTCTGGGATATGATAGACCCAATCACCAAATCTTTTTTTTTTTTTTTTTTGATGTTAACTTTTCAGAGGAATGAAGGCACCTGTTATCCAAGGTAGTGAGGTAAGGCAGCAAACTAGGCCTCAGCCATCCAAACCTCTATCACAGAAACCTGAAATTACAGGGGTCCTTATAACTTTGACAGTATAGTTTTTCCCCTTAATATTTGCTTATTTGGCAGTGCTGGGTGTTAGGTGCGGCATGTGGGATCTAGCTCCCTGGTCAGGGATCAAAGCCGGACCTCCTGCACTGGGAGCTCAGAGTCTTAGCCACGGGACCACCAGGGAAGTCCCTGACAGTATAGTTTAAACAATGACTTCTAAAGCTAAAATAATATTTTTTATTAAAAACAAAGTGCTTTTCTCGCCTCTCCTTGCAATGGAGAGGGTGTTCCCGTAAGCACCCTCCTGGGCCAAACCTTCCCCAGGAACTGTCCCTACAAGCGCACCCCGTTTCGGGTCACGGAGGAATACCCACTCCCCAGGAGCACTCACGGGAGCCCCAAACCACCGCTGGGGAGCCTGTCCTGAAAGGCCACACAGAGATCACAGACCGCTGCATTTAGGGCCAGACTGCAGCATTAAGCAAACGTGCTATCATCAGAGGGACCTTATTTACGTACTTTATTTCCACAGAGGAGTTGAGGCCATTGACAGACACACACAGCCGTGTAAAGAGAGAAAACAAATAACTGAGGGACTCACAATGAAGATGAAATGCGGCTCTCATCGCTCAACCTCCCTCCCAGCTGGGGCAGGGCTGAGGACAACAAGTGCGTTCAAGCACCATTTCCTCCCTCTGGCTCCGACTTACTCTGATCTGCATAGTTTTTGGCCTTCAGTTCCAGCTGGCGGGTCTGGAACTCGTAGTGTTCCACCTGGATTTGCAGCTCTTTCTTCTCTTGTTCCAAGGCATCTTCAAACTCGATAAATTTCTATACGTGCAAGGAAGAGAAATAGCAGGTGTCGTAAACGTGGGCAGGTCAGATGACATCGGCCCCTCAGAAGGGGAAGGGCTTGGACTCAAAATGTGGGCCCCCCACCCCAGAGCCCCTTTCCTTCCATCCACCGCCCTCATCGCCCTCAGCGGCCCTGGGGGAGGGGAGGGCCAGACAGCTCCCCAAGAGTGGGGCCTTCTGACCAGCTGTCTGGGAAGTCACTCGGGGCCCTGAAGCCGGAAGAGCCCACACGCTCACACGCTCACTTTAACCTTGAAATTCTTAATAGTTTTTATTTTTTTAAAACAATTAAAAAAATTTTTTTTATTTGGCTGTACTGTCTTATTTGTGGCATGCAAGCTCTTTAATTGCAGCATGTGAGATCTAGTTCCCTAGCCAGGGATCGAACAGGGGCCCCCTGCATTGGGAGCACGGAGTCTTAGCCCTTGGACCGTCAGAGAAGTCCCTCTTAATAGTTTTTAAACAAGAGGCCTGTACTTCCAGTTTGACACTGAGCCCCACAAATGATGTAGCTGGTCCGTGTGCAAAAGACTGAACTGATTCCTTTCAATCCCGAGCATCTAAAAGAGGCCAGGCGTACTGCCCTCCTAACATGTATCTCGGTCACTGCTCAGCTCAGGACGCCATCATTTGTGGAATAATTAGCAACCCTCAGCGCTGCTCTGATTCTTTTAAAAACGGGGAGAGGGGCTGTTGGTCTGGCTTTGGAATCTGCACCTTATGTGGTAATTTTCTGAGCAAGATTATTCCCAGATCAAGTGAGAAGAACGCACTTCACAAAGGAAAAGAAAATCCTAAATGTTCTTAGGAGGAGACTGAGCTTAACTCTGATAGCCCGGGGTGAAGGCAGGCTCTGGTCCCGGGGGATGGACCAGGTGGGGCCCCCCAGGACATATAGCCCGGCCACAGCCCTGATGGGAGCTGTTAAAACCTCGATTTTACTACATGGGAAATGGAAATAGTAACAAATTTCATTTGTAGGAAGCACACATGTCAGCTGGGTTCTGAGGACATCAAGAGGCTTCAGGGGATGGGAATGTGAAGCAGCTTGTGGGTTCCAGGTTTCAGGTGTCTGGGGGAGTTGATGAATTCACGGTGGCCACAGCCGTATTTCCCGTAACACTTGCACTCAGCCCCTCAGCCCCACTCGGGGCCCCGGAGACGCTTCTCCCCACAGCAGCTTTGCAGAGGTCTTGTGCTTAAAAGCACTGGGGCTCCTGCCTAGGGCTCCTGCCTGGGGCTCCTGCCTGAAGGATGCCTCACCCAGAGCAGTGACAAAGAGGACAGGACCGGGGAAGGGAGTGAGAAGGAAAATCTGCACTGATGACATCACATGCAACTTAAGTAAATGATGAAGAATATACTCGCTGCCATGAAAACGCACACAAATGGTGCAGCTGCACGAAAAACTACAGTAAGCGGTTTTGAATGACTGTGGTCATGACCAGCATATGAAGAACAGACATGCTATTAACTGACTGGTAAATAAATTTTTTAAATTGGGTAATTTTAGTTCTTATTACTAAAAAGTGATATAAACATATACTTTTATAGAAAAATCATATGAGAGTGTTAAGTGAACTTTAAAAAAAAAAAACACATAGTTCTGCTGTGCTATCAATGATTAAGCAACAAAACCAAATTCCAGCATCCAGACAGCGTCAGATAAAACAGGGTGACATTCTTCCAGACTCCTGTGTGTGTGTGTCTGTGTTGGACGCCCGTCATTTTGTACACGGTATCTGGACCCGACTCACTCCCTCGTTTATACTGGCATGTCGTTGCACACTAAGAGCGGTAATCTGCCCTTCCCACTACTGACAGCTGTGTGTACGTTCCCCTGAGGGTGAGTGTGTGCAGGGCAGAGCCTACACAACCAGCATTGCCTTTTGCTGGACTTTCAGGTTGCTTTGCTGGTGGTTTAATCGCTTAGTCATGTTTGACTATTGCCACCCCATGGATTGTAGCCCACCAGGCTCCTCTGTCCACAGCTCATCATGTCCTCTGTCCAACTTTCTGCTACAGACCCTTACTTAACAATTTGTAAGGACTTATTAGATCCATTCAAGAGTTTGTCTTCTATGCTGCAAGTATTTTTCCCAGGATGTAGTTTGTGTGCAGTATACAAGTTCACTTACCTCTGCGTCATTTACTTAATAATTTACCCTTTCTTTAAGGCTTTGAGGGGTACTTTGTCATCTGCTAGATTCTAAGACTATTTCAGTCTACATCTGACCCAGTAACCAAAGGTTTCCTTAAACTTGCAGTGTTATAGCATCTTTTAATGGCTAATATACAGTCCACTTCTTCAGTCTTCCTTATCACTACTTTCTTGGTTATTCCCACTTGTGGGAATAATCCTTCTTGATTAAATGGAGAGTCATCCCTCAATCACTTATTTATTTATTTATATACTTATTAATTTGGCTGTGCTGCATCTCATTTGGGTATTCGAGGCATCTTCGATCTTAGTTGCTGCATATGGGATCTAATTCCCCAACGACGGATGGAACCTGGGACCCTGTACTGGGAGCACAGAGTTTTAGCCACTGGACCATAGGGGAAGTCCTTGCATTTACTGTGTTTATTTTTTGATTCGGACACAAATGAAGCGACTTAGCACGCATTTTTTGAATCAGCATTTTGCCTGCCAGAAAGCATCAGTTCGTTGGTCCCCAGGAAGGGGTCCTTGTTTTTCATGACAAAATGCTCAGGGCTGGACTTGGGAGGAAGGGAAATCTCACCCTGAGTCAGTGAAGAGCGGTGCGATGGGGCAGCAGGAAGGGGGAAGGCGGGCAGAGGGAAATTCTCCCTCCCTGTAAACAGTGCCGATCCTGCGTCCAAATTGGAACACCAAGGTTTTACACAAAGAGCACTCTGTGTGCCAATCATTTCCCTACAGTTCCACCTGTATCTTATCTCGTTACCTGCATTTCATAGTTGACAGTCAGCTAAAAAGATTTTGAAGCAAAAGACGATTTAAGAGAAACCAGATTGTTAAGAGGGTCAGTGAGATGTTTCTAGATCCATCCTGATAGGTGATCACTAAAACCCAACACAGAGGGGCTTCCCAGGTGGTGCTGGTGGTGGTTTAGTCGCCGAGTCGTGTCTGACTCTTGCAACCCCATGAACTGTAGTCTGCCAGGCTCCTCAGCCCACGGGTAGCACTGGTAGTAAAGGACTGACCTGCCAACCAGGCCACACAAGAGACACAGGTTCGATTCCTCCGAGGTCAGGAAGATCCTCCGGAGGAGGAAATGGTCACCTGCTCTAGTATTATTGCCTGAAAAGTTGATGAGTGAGTGAAAGTCGCTCAGTTGTGTCTGACTCTGCGACCCAGGCCAGAATACTGGAGTGGGTAGCCGTTCCCTTCTCCAGGGGATCTTCCCAACCCATGGATCGAACCCAGGTCTCCCACACTGCGGGCGGATTCTTTACCAGCTAAGCCACCAGGGAAGCCCAAGAATACTGGAGTGGGTGGCCTATCCCTTCTCCAGGGGCTCTCCCTGACCCAGGAATAGAACCTGAGTCTCCTGCATTGTTTACCAGCTACCAGGGAAGCTCAGCAAGTGTTTGATTGAATAGTTCTTGATTTAAAACAAAATATTTGAGAAAAAAAAAATTCAATGCAGATTGACAGCCCCCAGAGGCCTGGTCACACCATGAATCAGCTCATCCACTTCTCAATAACCATCGGGGGGCAGCATCTCCCCAGATGAATGAGAAGCCCTGAGAAACCCCCAGGGGACCTCCGCCGACTAGAGGGCCAGCCCTCGGCTTCTCTGCTGGGCTGGGCCAGCACCAGGACGCTGAAGGCCCTTGGCAGGTCGGCAACCACCGCACTTGGCATTGTGGAGGAGCCATCCCTTGCCCACGGCCTTGGAGGTCAGTCTGGAACCAGACAGAGCTGACTAGGGGCACCGTGGGGGCTCTGCGCCCATGAAAGCATCACACACGCAACACACTGCTCTGAGCTTGACAGATGTCCTCTTTCTTCTTCTGAAAAACTCTTACATCATTACAGTAATTTTAGTTAATGAAGAGGCAAGCTAGCTCTTTAACTGAAATGGAAGATTCAACATCACCTTTGTCAAATATTATGAGGGATAAATAATGTGAAGGACTAGTGCCTGGCCAAGACTAAACAGGTACTGAGTCTTTACTTTGTATGAGGAACCGCTCGGGGTGAGACTTGGGATGAAGTAAGAATCCCCTGGACAAATGAGGTGCAGCTGGTGGGATAAAGTAGGGGCTTCGAGGCTGGTGGTGAAGTGAGTGTGGAAAAGTGGTTGAAAATCACAGTTCTCCAGAATGAGCGGAGGCACCTGGGGGAGGCGGGGCGAGGGGGTCAGGAAGGAACTCTACTAACCGGGTCAAAGTCACAAAAAGTGCAATAGGTGTCCTCAAGGAAGCAGAACATACTTTTATTTAGAGATCATTTTATTTATTTTACTGATTTTTAAAACATTGATTTTTATTTATCTGGCTGCGCTGGGTGTGGCACGCGGGCTCTTCGATCTTCATCTCTGCATGCAGGATCTTTAGTTGTGGCATCTGGTTCCCTGACGGGGGATCGAGCCTGGGCCCCTGCATCGGGAGCGGGGAGTCTTAGCCATTGGACTACCAGGGAAGTCTCTTGGTGCAGCTATTCAATCTTTGCTTTGTGTGAGCAACCCTCAGGGCTAGACTTGGGATGAAGTAAGACAAATGAGAAGCGATTGGTGGAATGAAGCAGGGGCTTCGAGGCTGGGGGTGAAGTGAGTGAGGAAAGGAGGTAGCAGCTGGGGGAGGCGGGGCAAGGGATCAGGAGGGAACTCTGCTAACTGGGTTAAAGTCACAAAGATTCAATAGATGTTTTCAAGGAAGCAGAACATATTTGTATTTACAGATCGTTTATTTTTTTAAAATATTTATCTATTTGGCAGAACTGGGTCTCAGTTGCAGCACACAGGATCTTTACTTGCGGCATTCGGAGT